CAAGTCAAAAAGGTAAAATGTTTTTCCACTTATCGTGTTATCGGTAAAAGTGCACGGCGACGATGGCGCCGACGGCGACGACAGACGCAGATGATGGCTATATGTACAGACACATCTGTGTCTGTACATAAAAAATATTTAAAAAAAAAAAAAACACAACAAAAATTTATAAAGTGAAAGAGTTATATTCTATGATGGGAGATCAGCTCAGTATAAGCCACAGGTTGGAAAACGATAAAACAAATATTTGTTGGCTTGGAGGGGGGTCTAGATCATTTACCAGGGGGCAGCTTCAGCAGTAAATACCATCCAGAGAAATTCTGTACTGGATAGGGCAAATACTATATGTCTGCCTTAACCTACTATTGTTCAACTGCTAAGCAATAATATGCATGTGCTGTGGAAATATATGAAAATAATGGTCTAATTTCCTGATGACTGCTTCTAGAAAGAAAGGCCATATTCTAATCCTGTTCATACTATTTTCCCACATACAGTACTACAAAGGGACTTACAGTATGATCCTTATCATCTCACAAAACAACAGTGGAAATAAATTTTTAATATTTTAGGTGGTCAAAAATACTAGAATAAGACAGATTTAAATTGAAAAAATTATGTCAATTCAAGGTTAAAAAGAAAATACTGACATTTTACACTTCATCTACCCTTCTCAGAATCATGTGACTGTGAAATGTAAATAAAAACATGAACTGCATTTATAAAAGCTGACCTCACATCAACTTTGAAATGCCATAATATCAATAATATTCACAATACTACTCCAATATAATTCATACAGACGTAACATATGGTGTGATGTGCCACTAACACTATAACACTAAATACTTAACAGGTACATTAACACAATCTGATACCATGTAGTATAATCGATCAATAAAAGTTAACAACAATATGTCTTTGATGAAAAATTAAAGGACATTTTAGAAGGTCAAACAACAATTGGCTTGTTTACAAGAAAGAGCTAGTATGTGGACATGCAACAGCAAGACACAATTTGCTTTTCATGCAGAAAAATGTTAGGTTTCGGTTGGGGGGGGGGGGGGGAGAGAGGAAGAGACTGACACACGTTTGTATTGTAGCTGGTCTTATTCCATTGTTAATAATGCTATGGACTCTTTTCTGTTTTAGTACTTTTTGCTAATCAAAACATCATGTATAGATCTGACTTTCCTTTATTGATTGCATTTTGAACCATGCTCAATACTACAATTTATCATTGATCTTTTAGCTAGAACTGCTGAAGAGTATGACTTAAAAAAAACTCGCTATAATATCTGAAATCACAATGAAAAAAACAACTGTACATGAGTAATTGCACTCTGAGGGTTTCCTTTCACAATGATTATAAAACTGTTTGCTAGACATTCATGTGTTAGTACTCCTAATTAAAGATTTTTATCTACTATGTGATTTATCAGCAATAAGAATGTTTTATATAACTTATAAGGATACAATGTATATCACTGGGAAACGTTTTTAAGAAGTGCTGATTTCCCAGTCAAAATTTGTGACGAGAGAGAGAGAGAGAGAGAGAATAAGAGAGAGTCTAGTGCTTCATTTAATTATATCAGCGGCCTAATGATACGGTCTCGGTGCTGACAAAATAACTTTTTCTGAAACACCCACTTTCAGATCACTGTCAGTGTCAGACGATCATCGTTCATTTCATTCATTCACATGGATAAATTTCTCTTCACACTCATGCATGCTCACCTTAACTTTGCCCCCTTTTCTGGGTGTTTGGGTCTCTTTTTTATCCTCTGAATTGTCTTCTTTCATTTTGGTTTTCTCGTCGTCGCCGAGCATTCTCGAAAAGTACAATGACTTAATGATCGCACCGCTGAAAACGATGACCCAAAAAGTCCTACTTGGGTCTATTTTTAGATCGTTTATTTCTATTGGTGAGCTATAACGCGTGTTTCTTGCTGTGGAAAAATGCAAAAACAAGTGAGTCATGTACTGGCCATATAATAGTGTATTATTGGGAATGCTAGACAATACAGGCTTAAATATAGGCGAGGTACTCAAACAACCGTCCTTAGTAAAACAAAAAAAGTTAATGGGTGTGGAAGTATTAGAGACAAACTCATGGGAAACCGCCTAATTCAAATAGGAGGTGGGGTTAATCGGCAACCGGGGACGTGTAGATTTAAGATCCTTCGGACTGTCGGTATATGTGCCCGAAATAATCGACATGTGAGGAAAAGATTAAATAAACTATTAAACTGAAAACACCATGTTATAGGGTTCATTTCTTCCGGGAATGATGAAATATATATTAATACTGAACAAACTTTGATTAAAAATGATTAAAATGCGTTTTACAATAACCTTTTTTATTTATTTATTTGTGTGTGTGTGTGTGTGTTTATGCTTAACTAGTGAATTTCATTTTAAGAAATACATTCGAAAAAAAAAAAAAAAAAAAAAACTTGGGGGGGGGGTTGGCTTCGCATCCTATATAATAATCCTGGATCCGCCCCTGGGATACTCATACTCTCCTCTTTCTGCTAGGTGTGACAGATTTTTTATAAAAGTAGTTAGGATATCAACAAACGTTCAGAAAACGTTATTCTAATGTTCTACACTGCAACTGTTATCATTGACCCGGGAATGGTTGCCAGCAAGATCCTTTAAATGAAATTAAATTATACGTCTTTTGCTAGTTTTAGGGGGAAAAACATGAAACAAGGTTCTCAAATTTTGCATCACTTTAATTTGCACAACTTTAATGAACACATCTACGTTCCAACAATGTTATGATGTGTCGGTTTTATTTGCTCAGATAGCAAGCAGTGGTCGCCAGCGGTTGGCACGATGCGGATTTTAGAATTTTTGGTCTGTCGGTACGTACCCAAAAAAACCGACATGTGATGAAAAGCTTAAACTAATAAACTGAATACACCACCACGTTCTAGTGTTCATTACTTTGGGGGAAGGAATTAAATAGCAACAATACTGTACATGGTGACATAAACCTGACGTACGTTCCCTAAGTGTTCTTTGAGCATTCATCTGTTAGCTGAGTGAGGTCCTAAACTAATAAGGGTGAGGTTCCCTCTTTATTTACTATAACTTTTCAAAAATGATAAACACTAACCAAATGCAGCAATCCCACAGTAGAGTTCAGTTAGAAAGTTTAAAAATTGAGACCTGGCATTGTTTGAGATGGGGGGGGGGGGGGGGTTCAATTACAAGTCATTATATGTTTGAACAGCCTTTTTAGTTAAAGGGAATTAAATTAAATTTTTAGGGGACAAAATTTGCAATGATGTAAGACATTTAACCCCCTATTTAATATAAGTAATAATAAACTTTAAAAAATAACCACTGGCATAAAGATTAACATAAAAAAGTCATTTACTAAAAAAGATTTATTTTACAAGTTCCATTATGGATATTATCAAATAAGTTTTTGAAGAATGTCTGGACTCATTAGTCCCTACATAAATCCAAATTGTTTTTCTATCATGATATCACAAAAAGTTACACTTTCTTTGTATTAGTACTGATCACTAGATGTCACAGCTGATCAGTTAACATACTAATAAGACACCTGCATTAAACTGATTAGCCAAGAACAGCATACTAATATGACACCTGTGCACAGTAATACCTGCACTAATTAGATCAGGTTTTATGATGAAGACTGACAAAAATTTGGCAATACAAAGAACATGTAACTGTCTGTAATATGATAAATTAAAAAAAATACAAACAATCAAATAAGCTGTAATTTCCCAAAATTTATCCATTTTCATCTCTGGCTTCAGGTGTGGTCTACTTTCCTCAATACTAATGGGCTTCAATAAAAAGACTGACGCTAGTTTTTATTTCAAGTAAGGCAAACCCCAGCACACTACAGACTTCAATACTGTTTAAAAACCGCAGGTATAATTTCTGTAATTGCCTGAATGTCCAATAATGAAGACGAATAATTGCTAGCAAAATGCAGAGTGAAAAAATGAGCAAAGACAAATTCTCATAATTACTTTCAATTAGATTTGGTTTGCATAGCATAATGAATAATTCTAGTGCTTTTATTTATTAGTTCTTCAATTCCTATATTCCAGTGAGGTGTGCAATTCTTTACATATCTCACGTAAACCTTATTACACTGCAGATTTATCAAGCCTTTCTGATACTAAAACAAGCCACCAATTGAAAAAATTAATTAATGACCCAATGCAGCAGTGAGTTCTGTTTGAAGAACTTACTCTGCACTCAACCTGTACTGTCAGAGAGAGAAACCCCCTTCATTTTTAGAAAAAGATATCATACTTGTATATATTGAATCCGTTAACTATCATGAGCTGATACGTATCATCTCTAAATGCTTCTTTTATGGCAAATAGGCATTCATTTGGGGTTTTCTATGCCTATCTAGATCTCAACATCATTCTGTTAACATGTCCACGTTCTCTCCATGGTTTTAAATAACCTCCACTCTTTTCTTTGCAAAATTGTAGATTAACTCCTAAAACTCAGATTTTGTAGCAAAGCTCAGTCGATTTGGGATTATTTCTTCAGTATGTTTCTGAAGGCATTCTACCACCATCTTTTGTGCTTGATATCATGAGAGCAATCTTCTCACAGCACTGAGCTGGAATTCTAGAGCAAAGCACTTTCTAATCTCGAGACTATGGGCAATAAAGCATTCAATATAGGTGCACTCCAAGTCGGCTGCATCCTCTGTAACATCAACTACTATGTCGAATGACCATTCATACCAATATTGCCATTCAAGTTAAACTTGGATAAAATTACCAAGTCACACTTCTTGCCGATGTCATGATCTCAAGAGAACTTTTAAAACAAGATAACAATCACACCATCCCCTGGTGCCATGATTTACATCATCAATTCATCTTTGAGCGTTTTCGAGCAATGGCGTCTTCCACAGCTTTTAGCTGTTTCAAAAGTTCTTCTCTCCTCGAAGACGTGCTCTTCTTCGATGCTTTGGCTACCACTGGAGCTGCAGTGGAGCCTCCTTGTGGCACATTGTTGCTAGACGCCGTCTTAACAGGCTTTGGAGGCTGTAGAAGTGGTTTCTTGCTCTCAATTTTCATGCTAACCTTGGGTATAGAGGGTTTTGCCTCAGCTGGTTTCTCTGGGGCTTTCGGAGGAACTTTCACAGATGCCTTTGAATCTGAAATCACAAATATCTCACCTGCTCAAAATAGGGTACTTGGAAAATTGTAAATTTTTAAAAGATCCTTGACAAATTATATTTTTACTGAAGATTTACATGACAAGTGCATCAGAGGTTCCTTAGATGAATCTCTTCAGTGAAAATCAGGATCTAGGTTTTCCATCATTTGCACCTTTTAACTTGAGATCATTAGAATCATCATTTAGAATGTTTCATTAATTATATAACTTCACCCTATAACTTCACCAAAGTAAAAATAATTGAACGAAAATTAAGTTTCGACAATCTTGAAAAAAGACAAAAATTTATCTTAATTTTCTTTAGCCACACATAAAATCTAGAAAGTAAGTGACCACATGAAATCTAGAGACTAGAGAGTAAATGACCACAGATATCACCTTTTGGTATTGGGGCAGCTTTTACAGGAGGTTTGGCAGGTGTGGGCTTCTTGGCAGGAGGAGCACTACTGCCCTCTGCTGGTCGTTTCAGACCTCCCTTGTCCTTTGGCTGAAAAAGGAAAAAAAAAAAGATTATTTCTAATGTTCAAGACTAAAGGACAGTATACATGATGTGTGATGGAAAAGATCAGTATTTTCAAAATTTGTATCAAATTCCATTATTTATTTTTATTATTTATCTATTTTATGAAGGGAAAGCGGGACATCAAACCAAATGACGGAAAGTAGTAAAGCTTTTACCTTCATTTGCACAGAGATACAATGATAAATTTGCCTTTCATAAATGTGCAAGATCAACTTCTTCACTTTTTTATCAATGCAAGAATAAGTTAACATAAGCTTTTTTATCAATCTACAAAGTTACCTTGTTCACAAGGGTTAACTTAATCTGTTGCTTTTGCCCTATCATCTTCATTGGATCTTTGGCTGTTTTGACCACAGATGTTGATGACGTCACACTGGACTTTGTCTTTGAACTGTCCACTCGGTCACCTCTTCCTGAAACTGGCTGGAGTGGTGGAGGCTGAGCCCCACTGGACATCTGTGCTGGTGGTGGTGGTCCAGTTTTTGATAATGTTGTGGGTTTGGCCATTTGTTTTGACTTGTCTTTCTTCTCTTTTTCTCTCCGAGGTGGCACTGGAGGTCCTCCGGCTGGACCGCCAGTAGATGGCGCTGGAGGTACCCCTCCAGGTGGTGGCCTCTTTGTGACATCTTTATTTTTTCCTAGTGTGAGAATCATTGGAGGTCATAATATTTTTCAGCAGGCAAGGAATTCAGGCAATTTCAGTGATTACAAACGAAATAAAATAGATCAATGACTGACATATATCATACAAGAGACTAAATCAAAATCTAAACTAACACTAATGATATGTTTTCAACTCCAATAATTCTGTCCTTTCTGTATCAATTTTTATGCATTTATATGAACAGCACTAAACTTTTCATCAATAATCCCCACCTTTCTTAGGCCCCTTTCCCATGTCTTTGTATATGTTATCTGAGTCGGCACTTCCACCTGAGCTACTAGAAAATGTACTACTGACAGATGATGCACTGCTGCTACGACTGCGTGATCGTGATGAAGAAGAGCTGGAGCTGCTATAAGAGGAACTGCCGCTTGGACTGTGAGTCTTCTTCTTAGTCCTGAGACAAAAGAAATTTTTCATAATTCTAATTTTAAAGCTATTCACCACACAGTGTAAAAACCAGTTATTGCTTCTGCCAACAAGGGAGGTTATCTTAATGGTTATTAGTGGTTGCTTAATTTGTTTTTTCTATGGACAAAAAAATTCAAAAAAGTTCTTCATAAATTTTGAAGAAATTTTAATGTTAGACATTTATTCAGGATGGAAAAAAGCAATTACAATTTCAACTGGATCCAAGTGTCTATGTATTTTTCTCAATTACATTTTGCCCTAGTGATGGTCTGCACTCTAGGAACACTTGAGATTCTGACATCTACTGGAGTGCTGACAGGTCAGGTTTTAGGAATGTTTTTGTGCCTTTTTAAAAGTTTTTGAGAACACTCAGAGTTAAGTACTAGTTTCAATATGAGTCGTTCACTGTATGCGACATACAGGAGCATAATTATATCGAGGCAAATCCAAGATATAATTTGCTCTTGTACGTCTCATACAGTTGATGATGAGTAGTTGTAACTGACTTATACCACTAATGGCGCTTCAAACAATAGGATGAACGCACCCAAGTGAATGAAAAAACAGGTAAGCCTGCATGGGAAATACAAGTCCAATTATCCTATTGTTCCATCAATGGTATAATAGTTGGATACCAGCATTATAAGAAAAGTCTCTGCGATGTGCAGTGTGCAACAAGTACTCACCTGGGGGGTCCTTTCTCCTTTTTCCTTCCTCTTTCTGTTGGTCCTGTCTTGGCCCCTGGTGGTGGTCCCAATAATTTCTGTGGCTGAGATGGCGCCGAACCAGAAGTTGTTGTTCCACCACTAGGTGTCACTGGGGGTGCCCATGTGGGGCCCACTAGAGGTTTTGCTTTCTTGTCTGGAGATTTTGTTGTCGTCTTCTGCACAGAACTCTTTGGAGCCTCACTAATTGAAAATCATCAGTTACAATCCATTAAACTATTTGGTAGAATGTAGAAAATTATAGTCAGCATGGAAACAAACTTTTGCAGACAGGGTATAAATCATTATGACATAGAACTGTTATGAGAACAGCACAGATCAAAAACATCCAAATACAAGAAACCAATAACCAACATGGTTAATACAGTTAATCAGAAAATACTAAAGGTAATTGGAGTTGCTATCAATTTTCACATATCAAAAGAATATAAGGTGAATCTCCAAACATATAGAAATATTAGACGCCAACTTTTCACATATCCATAGTAACACCAAACTATATTAACTTACTGTTAATATATATCATTTCATATATAAACTTATACAACATTACCCAGGTTTTGGAGCAGGCAGGGGCTTTTTCTCTGTTGGGGGTCCAGGCACTGCTGCTTTTTTACCTTTTGGTGTTGGAGAGCGTGAATATGATGAACTTCTGCAATATTCAAAAGGGATACTTATTTCATTTCATGGCAGCATTCAATCATTACCACATATTTTCAATCATTCAATCATTACCACATACTTTAGACTTTTCAACCAATTCTTAGGAAAAAGTTGTGTAAACAGAAAAACAAACTGATATTCCAGCTACATAAAAGGAAAATAATACGATCTTTCATGCCCAGGTAAAATATCTTATGGATTATGTGAAGAATATCCATGAAAGCCATAGCCTTAAAAATTGCCAAGCAAAAAGGTTCTTTTGCCCTTGTCACCCACCTTGAACTAAATGAAGATGACCGGCTATATGATGAACGACTTGAGACAGAATATGAAGATGACCTTGACCTAGATCTGAAAGAAAATAGTGCACCACAGGTCATCCCATCACTCATGCAAAATCAGAAAAAGAACAAAAATCAGACAAAATCAAGAGGGTCAGAGAGGCGCTATCTCCTGGGTATGAACCACCAGCTGCACTTTGTACATCTTTAGGAAAATGGATCAGATTTTTTTTAGAGCAATAGCAAAATGGTAAGTTGTTTAAAATTGAACTTTAAGTGGGCAAATTCGAAATTTTTACTGTTAAGAGTAAAATTCACCAGTTTCTTTCTCTCTTATCAAAGTACATCAAAATCAAATTTATAGATTGTAATTATGTCGCTCAGCAGGTTGGAACATGGTGCTCTTGGCGATTGAAGAAAGTGTTGAAATTTCAGTGAAAATTTAATTTGTGTGGAATATAAACCCCCCAGAGTGCATTGTGGATCCTTGGTATGTCCAGCTCTAGGTTGGTGATACAACAATAGGGTTATCAGTAAAACCCCTTTACACTGGACAGCATCCTATCTGCATCCTTTGTGTGACCATGAAACTGGCATAGTTGTGGTCGTAGAAAAAAGGCACAAGCATTGCCTTGGTAACAGAATGAATGGTCATGGATTGGCCAGTTGTTGGCATGTAAAGAATATTTTTTTACTCTCAAACAGGGCCGTACTACATGAGGCAAAAAGGATGTAAAAGGGGGCTTAACCGTTTCTTTTTCATACAGTGTTTCATTGCATTGGGACAAATGAATAAATAAACAGAAGAGGATTAAATTCCAGTGAATGAAATTTAACACCTATACCTCTGGAAATGACTGTTCAAAAAGAAATAACCTGAACTTATTGTTTTGCTTAATGATATGAAAGAAACTATACCACCACCACAGAAAGCAGAAAATTGTGGGGCAAAATACTGCAAATTTAAACACATGACTTCAAATGAACAAATATTTTGTTAATTTTTAATATGATCCATTTCCTCAACTAACAGAGAGTTTTTATGTTGTTCATTCACTGTTGTGGTTATGTAGAGGAATATACAAATATTTAAATGTCTTTGTGCCATATACTGTCTACAGAGAGATCCCACTGCACAATTAAACCACAGATACTTCCATTTGGTTGCTTACCAGTGTATTTCTTGCCAAAACACATCATCTAATACAGTAAAATGGGTTTTGCATTGTCTCTTGCGCAAAAATGTTAGATGTGGTGGTCTAACTTTGTACTACCAGTCTCAGCAGGGTAACTGTTAAATAACAGCTTACCACTGGAGGTCAACCCAAGGAAACATGATTAAAAAAAAAAAGGCATAATATTTACTGCAGCCCACTGATATCAGTCACAAAGACGGCTGACCCAAGTTGAGTGAAAACAAACCATGAATGCAGCCTAACACCAACCTTGATGATGAATACGATGAGTAGCTCCCAGACCTGTTCCTCCTCCTTCCCCGTGACTGAGGCTCCGGAGACCCAGGTTTTCTCTTTGGAGATTTTGACCTGGTAAAACAGAGAAAAAGTTCAGTGAAATAGGGTTGGGAAAATAGTCTAAAGATGGTTCAAACAAATAAATAAATTACTTCTAAAGAAACTTGTCATGTTTTTCCTATGAGGCATGCTATTTGCACTGACCACGTATCTTATTTGTTGATGTGAGCTCCATCCATCTTCAAAATCAGCAAGTCAAAAATCACATCAGTCAAGGTACTTTTATGAAGGGTCAAAACTTTACTAATTTAAAGTCTGAAATCCAGTTCAAATGTTGAGTAGAGTTTATGAGGGCAAAGTAAATTATTAATTAAACAGCTAAATTATAAAGCTAATAAAAATATACCCTACAAGTTCAGATTAAAATCCAGTCAATTCAGCAATATAACGTTCAGAAATTCAAAGTTTTAAGTTCTTTTTTAAAATCTTAATGTCTTGATTCTCTGTGATTTTCAAGTGCATTTGAAGACTGTTTCATTCATCAGGGCCATAAACTTGTAGAGCTAGGTCAGCAGAGGTTTTCAGCAATGCAGGTAAAAACACATCTAGTCCATACTGAGATTCTTTTTTCACCAAAAAGTCTTTTTACAAGGGCCAAAAACCATAAATATATGAAAAATAATTTTTCCTTTAAATAGGTTTTCAAACATCATCTGACAAAACATTTTTTTTTCTTTTTCTGAGGTAAATTGTTTATTCACAAACCTCATCCAAGGATCTCTCCATTCATCTGGCTTATTATTTTTGTTCTCCATTGTCTCTGGAGGTGGTTTACTGTCAGGCAAAACTCTCTGAGGTGGTGGATTTGGCTCCCGTTCTATGCGCTCACGCACACGTTCTCTGTGTCTGCGGTGCTCCCTTGGCCTGAATTCAAAGAGAATAATTTTCTTGAGATATCAGTGAAGAAGAAGTAAAACCAGACAAGGCTGGCAAATATAGACATAAATGTCAAAATACAGATTCAAAAGCATCTGGAAAAGAAAAACGGCACGAAAATTCTTTAAAATATCAGGAATTTTCACCTCAACAACAGGAATGCCCATTAAAAAAAAAATTGTTAATTTGTGAACAGTGACCAAGGTTTAACTTATCTCATTCAGTATATAAAAAGATTGGATATGAAGATAATCAGATTAAGCAAACAGAAGTAAATTCTGCTTCTGATATCAGAAATAAAAGCAGAAGGAAATAAGAAAGAAAATCTAAGGAAATAAATTGGTACCTGTGAGGAGATGGACTTCTCCTTCTCTCCCTTCTCCTGTCACGATTCATAGGCGGGTAGTCATGCCCCTATTTAGAAAAAAAATAACATTTAATTTTGTTTAAAATGAGTGTTTTTCTCACAGCATAAGGTCATGGGTGAAAAAAAAAAGAAACAAATATATTAAACTTGTTCAACCAGTTATTCATTTCTAAAGAGATTCAACTTGTTTCTACACATGAGAGATGAGAAAATGATCTTGATTACATGGCTGACTTGTTGATGTGAGTTAAGTGATGAAGGGCTGAAATGGTGTGCCTCATAGGAAAAACAAATTGTTTTAAAACAATTCACTTTTTTAAAAACTTTTTTAAAAACAAATATGAACATATTAAGCATAATTTTTGTCACATTTAAAACAATCCTCTGTCTCTAACCTACTTTCACTAGCTACATCAATAACAGAGTGCAAGTATATTTTAATGAATGTTATTTGGTTAAGTTTGCTTAAATTCACTGCTACATATTTCCACTCGCATTAAAGAAAACATTTAAATATCATGCACTTTTTTTGTTGCTGAAAAGTATACAATACTCAATTAAATTTATATATCTTTTATTTTTCTGGAAACTTCTACAAAATCCTAAATCACTAATTTATATTGCATTCAAACTGTTGAGAAAAATTACAATCTATAAAACTTTTTAAAGGGGTTGGTAGTTTCTACTTTGACAGTATGAGTCTCCATCTCTATCACAAGTCAAAGTGACTAAAAAATGACCAAAGTTAGGACTTGGATATCTTGCTTCATATTACGTACCCTGGGGTAATATTCCTGAGGCGGTGGTGGCAAAGGCTCCCGACTCCAGCGTACTTCAAAGTTCTCGTACGGATGGATGTCTAGTTCTTTTGTATAGTAAGGATCATCAAACCTACAGATTAAAAAAAAAAATAGTTGATTTTTCACTTGCCTATTATTATCAACCTAATCTCAATATGTTTCAGCAAATTCTACAATTTTTCAACAGAAATCCCACAGTAAGTAGTACAATTTCTAAGCACTATTTATCTGATTTCTAATTTTGCTTGTGACATTTAGTTTTCAGGAGTAGACATTCTTAAAGAACACTACTTCAAAATATCTGAGATGAAAAATATCCAAATTAGTGAAGCTTGAAAAAATTGTTTTTCCATATATATTCATATATACTATTTAGTATAAACTGAAGGCATTATAAATTAAATTTTCAACCCAACTCCACTGTAAATAATGGCGTTTATCATTTGAGACACCTGTATAACTTTTTAATCATTAAATCATTGCAATTAAGCTCATTAACCATCCCTCCCATATAAATGCAATAAAAATTCTGTTAATAATGAGATCAAATGTGTTCCCGATTTACCTTATTACTAAATCTCCCCAAAAATACCTAGTATTTGTCATCATAACCTGCCCATACCTGTGTAAGTCTACTTACATGTCATCATAGTACGGGTCTGGCTCAAATCTTCTCCTGTCGTTTTCTTTATTCATCTCCCTGTCTTGATCCTCTATACTCAGTGTGAGGCGCTTCTCGTGTAAGTTCACCTCTTGTTCTTTCTTTTTACTGGCCTTCTTCATCAGCTTGAATCAAAATGAAACTGACAATAAATATCTCAAGTTCCAGTTATGTGACAGATATTGATCATTTGGTTGTCTCAAGTTATCCTTTTCTCTCTGAAAATACATTTTAGGAATACCATCTTCTAAATCCTAATACTACTTGTGCTGTAAGATTGCATTAAAGCCAGTAAAAAGTTAATCATCAAATGGTCCAGTTTAATTCACTTAAAACAGCAAGCATGTGAGACTGTGGTTTAAAAGCATATCTATACACGGTATTTTGTGGGCTGAAGTTCAGTAGGTGAAGTAATATGGCGTATTTGATGGAGCTGATGCATATTTTTCCCAGTCTGCAATGTCAGTCCAAAGCAATCAGTTACTGTATGAATTGGGATAGAAGCAAAGGAAAAAATGTTTTAAAAATTTCAAAGTGACTTGTCAATTCAACCTATCAGAAATTTCAAAGGATGTTTTAGATTATTTTTCCATTAATTACAGATTTTATCTTTGGGAAAGTCAATTATTGTCAATAATTGCAAATTTGGCCATATAGTTTTCTAAGGTCTGCTGGTCCAACCGACCAATGGGCTTAATGTTTTGGGTACCCCCATTTAACCCATATACACAAAAACTGCATGTCCTTGTACCTCCTTGGCTTGCCTCAGCCCTCTTTCCCAGGCACTCTCTGTAGCAGGTTCCTCCACTGGAGGGGGCGGGGGAAGTTCTTCCACTGGATTACCCTATATGATACAGAACAGTAATATTAAGAAGACGTAAAATAAATCAAGCCAACTAAACATATTACAGGTAAATAAATATTATAATAATAAATATCATCAAATAATTCATGAAAAGGTATTAAATTCAATTTACCAAACTTTTTTTTTTACAAAAACTGATTACTTTATTTGCAACTAGACATGGTAGAAGTAAGCAGGACTTCATATAAGAAACTAATCTAAAATCTATGCTTAAGTAGCATATATATATGAATTATACATCAAACAAATAGTAAAAAAATATATATATTACAATAATACCTCCTGTCCCCGGGGTCCCTGACCCCCAGGCTGCCCCAGCCTCCCTGGGGGGTGAAACCCTGGCCTTTCTATCAGGGAGTAGTTACCTGGAAGAGAAGAAAAATAACAGATTCCAAATAAACAAGAATACTGAATGGCAACCAAATACAATGCACGTTTTCAAGCTTTTTTCCTAATTTTACCATTGCTACTGCTTTTGATATTTCTACTATTGATTATAATGGTGAAAAAATGAAACAGTACTTTTGTTAGTTGATTTTTCAGCATATTGTATAGCATAAATAAATATACGTCATAATATATATTATTTTGGTCAAATATCAAACGTTTCCTTTACTCTAGCTGCATATATAACAAACCCTTTTTGCTCACCTTTGTCATTGACCCCAGGGTGAAGAAATCGACAAGAAGGGCCCCACGTGCAGTGCCCTCTATTGAAAAAACGACACATCGGCCTTACAAATGGCTTTCTCCCATCAGGGTCTTTTATTTCTCCTTCTTCGCAATCTTCATCCTAATAAAGTTTAGTAAAATTTTTCATCAAAGTATCCATGGCAAAACACAGAAAAATACAAGTTCGGCATCAGGGGTTTCCCCAGGATTTGGGGAGCAGGGAACCTAAAATGTTGATCTGCTGTTATTTGTTCACCTATTTACAGATTCACAATTAAAATATAAATATGTCATTCTCAAAATTTTTATAAGCTGTCCAGTTGTCTTTGTATTTAGGCCATCTTTTGAAGCCAGTGGCTGTCCAAATGGCGACAGGATGGCTCTCTGTGGAAACCCTTGCCTGACATAAAAATCAACTATAATCTGCTCAAATAGTTCTCTTTTTATCAATGTTCCTTTTTCATCTATTAAATCTACAGCATTTACGTTTAAAATATTTTTGATCCATATGTGACATCTGAAATGTTCATATCAAATAATATTCATATGTGCAAATATTCTACTATTAAATGACCTCATGTCTGAATGCATTCAGTTGTCTGCAATGGGACGAGTTAATTGAATTCATTTGAACTTTTCGCAATGTATCATCCAGCACTGACCTCTATCTCACCCTCGTCGCCAGATCTTGCTTCTCCTTCTTCCTGCAAACAAGTCAACAAACTTTTTAGTTTTTATTTTCTTACTGAAACATTTTCAACACTAATTTTTCTTTTTTCCAGGGATTCTTTAAATAATCGCAAGATAATCATAAGATTTCCCTCTAATTACCTTTTTTATGTAATATAAACTGTAGATTTTTAACCTCACCTCACTTGAAAGATACCAAACTAATGAAGGTTACTTGTAACTGCTACAGTAATAAAAACAATTAATTGTTTTTTTGGCACATTCCGTGAAAATCTCAATGTGTGTAAAAAATAATGATAATAAAATGACACTGACAAAAAAGGACATTATATTATTAAGCAATAAGTTACCATTTACCAGCAATCCTACATTAGAAAATACTACTAACATACTCAAACTTAAACATCAGTAAAAAATATTATCAATAGTTTTTTTAAGTTTATGTACGTTCAAAGAGAGCTTGTACATTCTAACTGAAATTCTGCCAATAAATACCTTTTCTTCTCCCTCTTCTTCTGATTCTTCACCTTCCTCTTTTCTTCCAGTGTCATCCATTTCTTCCTTCTGTCCATCCACTAACATCCCACTCTCACTTGCATGCACATCCACCACATCTTCCTCAAAGTCCAGCTCAACGTGATCCTCATTTAAATCATGTTTCAAAGGGTTGTCTTTTCTCTTAGCTTTTACATCAGTTTGGTGCTGTGTGGCATTTTTCTGATCTGTCCCCATTTTACCACTGTCTTTCTCTTCCTCAATTTCCCCACTATCTGAGCTTTCTTCCTCTCCATCCTCACCCTCTGACAGGGTTGCCGGATTACACCCACTATCTGGGGCCACCCCTGTAGTGGAACCACTACCATCTCTTATCCCTGGGGTGGCACTGTCACTATCTCCATTGATACCCAACCTTTCTATACCATAATCACTCTGTGTTGGCAGATTTCCCTGTCCCTGGTTTTCAGTGTCCTGTTTGATAATCGCACTTTGAGAATCATTTTGATTACTATCACATATCTGGTCAGAGAGTCCACCCCTTTCCTCCTCCTCAATGTCCCCCTGCTGTATTGAGGAGTCCTGAGAAATATCCTCTGTGGCATCTCTTTCTCCATAGAGCCCCTCCCCTGTCAGAGACTGGGACTGAGACTCCTCTGGGTGGGAGCCAGGGGCAGCACCACCAAAATAACCCTCCCATGGCAAAGACTGGGACTGAGAGTCCCCAGTGAGTGACCCAGGGGGGTCACTTACTCCAGAAATCACAGAATATGAAGGGATCCCCTGGTTGGTGCTGTCTGCAGTGAATTGTGAGTCCTGTGTGCTTTCTTCTGCGTCATCCACCTCACCCGTGCTCTCGGTTTCAGAAACCTCTTCAGTGCTGTCCCGTGTTGCTTCTCTGTCTGTGGAATCCTCCCCAAACACTGGCTGGGCAGCCCCTTCATTCTGATCTGCCTCGACTTGCAAGGCTGACCGTGACTGGTCAGCCTCAATTTCTGAAGCTATTGGTGATTGGTCAGCTTCAGTGTGTAAATTGACCTGGGACTGATCAGGTTCTACTTGCAACATTGCTTGTGATTGGTCAGCCTCAGTTTGGGAAGTCAGCTGTGCCTGGTCAGCCTCACTTTGCAACAGGAGATGTGACTGGTCAACTTCAGTCTCAGGCGCCTCAGCACTGCTGGACACCCGTCTACGATCATCGGTCTCAGAGGGGCCGCTCTCTTCTGGAGGTAGATATAGTCCATCTGCTCCTTGACCAGCAGACTGGGGTTGGCTCACATCTTGAAGTTGTTCCACAACAGGCACTTGTCCTTCTGGATTATCTTCTGAGGTAACTAACTGGTCCCCCTCCACATCAGAGGCATCATCTTCTGCACCAGAGCCAGCCTAGAAAATAAATCAAATGTGATTCAACCTCAATTAATCCAGATTTTTTTTTATTATTGAATACCTTATTACTGAAACTGTTAATGTTTACAGACACCAACATAAATTTAAGGGTTCACTGGTACTATTTTAAGGTTGTGGGCTCGGATAATAGGTTTATGGGAGTCACTCGTAGTGTGAAAGGTAATGTGTCGTGGAGTAGCATGCTGTACAAGGAGGGGCATTGTTATCAATAAAATTTCTTGTTAAATAAAAATTACTTAAGCTGGATTTTTTTTTGTGATGTAAGTTTATCAGAAATTATAATTTCATCAATTTTCAAAATGACTAGTCTAGTGACTAGAAAAAGCCATACTGTATTGATTTTTCTCACTGTATCAGACTGGACATTATTGAGATTTACTGGTCTAAAAAGATCAGGAAAAATGCAAATACTGCAACCGCTGCTGATCGCCTTTGGTGTTGTTTTCGGATTAAAATATGTAAATAATCTCATTATCTTATCTTTTAATAAATATGAGACATCTCATTTAAGAGTACAGTTCTATGTTACCTTTCGTTAGTTCTTTAAACACAGAGTAATGAATTGATGATACAATACATATCTAAAAAAGCTGGGGACCAATTTCAAAAAAGACTCTTGGTACTAAAATTGGTATTTAAGTTAGTCTTATCTTTTGGGACAAAATTTCAGTCTAATTTCATTCAAGATAAATCAGTAGTAGCCCAACTGAATGAAATGTTGTCCATGTTTTACAACAAGTAAAATATGTAAGTTTCTGCTTTTAAAATGCTTACTTTATTCCAACAGCCTACATTGGATTTATTTTAAACTGTAGTAGACCATAGTTTTGGCTTAAAAGTTTATACCAACTGTCCACTTTCATAAGACAGGTATCACAAAGGTTTTCTTTACCTGCTCATCCTGGATATCCTCAGCCCCGCTGTCCTCTTCTCTCCCTGCATCCTCCTCTTCCTCATCCCTGACCCCCTGCTCAGCCTCTGGGTCAGACTCCCTGGCCTCCTGTGCAGCCTCAATGCCTTCCTCCAAGGACAGGTTTTGATCTTCTGGGGCTTCCATGCTACAGTCTAAGGATGAACAACAATAATAACGTTACATATTCAGATTTTTTTTAAACAAAAATGTTTGAAATAAGCAAATGGATTAAACTTGCCAAACCCTTTTCCTGTGACACCATCTCCTGACTGACTGAAAGAGTCCAGGTAAACAAAAATAAAATGAAACCTAAAAAGTCAGAACCAAGACCTTGTTCGTTCTTGCATCACTCTCGTCCAATGTATCCAATTAATTAATAACTAGAATTTCAAAATCAACTTTATATAAGCAGTAAAAGAAATCAACTGCCCTATACAAATTGTCAATAGTACTTAATTAACTTATTATGAACATTAGAAGACTACAAATGATGAAAAAAAATACAATGGATTAGATACCCATCTTCAATAATATACCTTGGCAACAACTCCCTGGGACGATAACTGAAATTTAAGATAACTGCATTTGATTCTCAAGTCGTCAGGATCAGTAACTGACAATATCCGGCTTGATTAGATCTCAAGTTAACACAGGATCGCGAATAATAAGGAAAACCCACACTGCAGTATGCATCAATCTCCAGTGTTCGCCATGTCTTTTTCTTGATTGGATGAAAGACTGCATGTGATCATTGACACGAACGTTCTCGAAGAAGAGCGGATTTAGCCGAGGAGGAATATTTCAATTTATCAATGAGGATTTACTACCACGTTCTTTCATACTGCACCCCCACATCCTCTGCCAACTAAAAAAATCCACAGACTGTCCACAGATACCCAAATATACACAAATCCATAGGAGTTTAGTATTTTTATTGCCATGCGCAAAATAATGCGCAAAAGGGTGAATTGAGCGCGAAATCCAACATGGACGTCGGCGAGCTTTTGTCCTTTCAGGTAGTGTGGCCTGTTCGCAGTGATTCCGACCCACTGATATCTTCCATGTCTTTGAAACTTTTCATTAATGCCAGTGACTGTCTATATTTGCTTCAATTTTCGACAGCTGTTTTATTTTTGCCTACTTTGCCACTTAGCAACTAGAAATACACTAAACCCCGACCTGTTGTTGGGGAGGGGGGGGGGGGGGGGTAGCCAAATGCTGCAAGTGTCCTGTTTATGCCCCCGTAATAAATTTTAAGATCATTCTCTTTTCCTTTTCTCATCCTTTTTCTTTAGCGACTTTGGGGGAAATTTATTGGTAGTCATTTTGATGTTTGTTTATTATGATTCATATTTTGAATATTGACTAAAAGTGTATTCCCTACATAAAAATCCATTGTATACTTAACAACATTTGTCATTTTGTGTGAACAGTATATAAATCAGGAAAAAGATACACAAATCTGAAATTTATATCTTTGGTAAATGCAGCCAGAAAAACCTGCGCTGGGTACTCTGAAACGTAAAAATGAGGATGAAGATCGAGGAAGAGCGAAGTCGAGAAAAAAACAGCCTGTGATAACCAACCAATCAACGCCAAGAATTTCAGAAGATGAGCGAGAAAAAATTCTGAAGATGGTCGAAGAGGAACCAGAGGTAGATTATTCTGTAATGAAAAATTGTCAACATGCAGAACAGTCATTTTACTTTGTTTGTAAATAAATTTGGAGGTTTTTGGTTAAATTATAAATGCACTCCAGCACTACATGTAAGATTAGGAACTAGAAGTTAAAATTTCCAAAGAAGTTCCTTGAAAGTAATATTGGAACAGAAAATTTATCAGTTCTGTTAAGTGAGTTGGATGTAGGAAAGTAATACTGTTTTTGTCAGTTACTGAAAGTATAAGAAATCCTGTAAAGAAACAGTGATTTTAAAAAAGTGGGCTTGAAATTTGACAGTAAATATGGCATGTGATTTGAACTTACTCTTCATATTTATCCTTATGTAATTATGTACATTTTTTGTTGCAGGCCCCTCCCATGGATGAGACAACTTTGAAGAAGATAATTCTACAGTTTGAGAAGAAAGCCTACAAGAACCAGGAGATGAGAATAAAGTTCCCAGATCTTCCTGAAAAGTAAGACTCTGGTGACAGAAGTGGGCAAAAGAAAGCAATGTTTTTAAAATGATGATAAATAGATGTCAAAATAGCTTTAATCTTTAAATTATGAATTTTTAGTAACATCTGAAGAGGCATGTAATTTTCATACTTTAAGCAGGATGCCAGCAGTTTTAACTTGCAGTTTTCATCATATTCTGTATTGAAGTAAAATATATATTCTAGTTCAGTTTGGAAGAAAGAGACAATATCTTGTATGCTTAGAAGTATCAGGACCATCAGTATCAATGCAGCACATTATGCCAGATAAAATTTATGTCACAGTTATGCATCACGTGTAATTTCTAAAAATATTAATTGCTTTATTATTTTGTTACATATTTGCTAATTACATTTAATGCCTGCATTAATTTCAGGTTTATGGAGTCGGAACTCGAGATGAATGACATGATTCATGAGATGCATGTAATAGCCACCGCCCCAGACTTGTACTACATCTTAGTAGAAATGAATGCTATCCAGTCACTACTACAGCTACTTTCACATGAAAATACAGGTAGAAAATCACAGTAAACATATTTATTAATTTATATGTATATATGAACAGATGTCAGTAGCAGGAAGAGAATACTATATTCTTTTTCGAAACACCATTGCCCCATTTTAGTAACAAACCAAAGTTTTATGATATGGAGTGATTTTTGTTCAGGTTTAGCTAGTGATGAACATATTTTGTTATGTACCTCATTATTCTTGCAGATATAAGCATAGCAGTGGTAGATCTTCTCCAGGAACTCACAGACGTCGACACATTAAATGAAAGTGAGGAGGGTGCCGAAGCTTTAGTTGATGCCCTGGTAAGTATGGATGTGTTCACACAGGGGCAAATTTGGATCGAAAATGGTCCATTTGCCACAACCAGGGGTCTATTTTATGACTGCTGGTGTGGATTCTGTGTTTCAGATTACTGGTAAAGTATCTTCAGCAAATGAAAAAATAATAGGCATTTTACAACTAACAACAGCTTAATTAAATCCGCCCCAAATTGTGTAGGCGGTGAAGTCTCTTTTGCAACTACTGTTAACAAAGTTTAAGTCTAAGTTATTCCTGATGTGAGCACAGCTTACCCATGATAATTTTCACCAATGGCTGAAAAAATTTGGGCAACTAAGTACAAAATATACATGAATGTGCTTTGGATTGTTTGTTAATTTATTTTCAAAATTTTCATGTTATGGTCATTTTTCACTTATTTTGAACAAAATAAGGTCAGATGTTTGATTCATTATTTTTAGAATATTTAATTTGTGATTGATTCAGACTGATTAATATTGAAAAAGGTTAAAAGTTTAGCATTTACAGTTTTTTTAGTGAACTTATTATATAATATTACTGTTGTGACACTTTCAGCTTGAAGGACAAATTGTTGCAGTATTAGTTCAAAATCTGGAAAGGTTAGATGAATCAAATAAAGAAGAATCTGAGGGTGTACACAATACATTAGGTAGGTGTAAACAAAAGAAAATGTTTTATTTTAAATAACAGTGCTGCTGGGTGTGATTAAACAGAGGTAGTAACTGTAACAGTTGTAAACTATCTGTGGGTACAAGTGAAGAATAATTTTGTCTCAAAAGTTTCAAATTTCAAAAGTGAGTCACTTTCTCTAATTTAAACTACATTACTAGAAGTAGTTCTTTGAACCAATTGCTGTGCTATTTACATTGGACAACATATTGGCTTAACATTATTTGTATGATTTCTATATTAATATACTACGTAGTCTCAGTAGTCTGTATTATTTAACATTATTTTGGACACCAGCATTTTGACTTTTGATTATTAACTTAAAGTGTATATTTCCATCTATTATTATGAAGGAATTATAGAAAATATCACAGAGTTCAGACCAGAGGTGTGTCCTGATGCCGCTAAGCAAGGACTGATGCAATGGTTATTAAAAAGATTAAAGGTAGGGTCAGTGTAATGATTTTTCATTTTTTAACAGACACTGACAGATTGTAAAATTTTTTTCAGATACTCCTATCAAAGTTGATTAAGTGGGACATGAAAGTAAATATCTTCAGTTAATCTCTCAAAATATTATGTGGAGTTAAAAGTTAGACAGAAGAAATGATGGAAGAGTTCAGATATAGACATATTTTTGCTATTCAATTTTTACCCAGAAACTTAATTTTGTGAATTATTTTTCTTGGATAAAAGAAATAGAAACTAGCAGTCTTTTGTTGTTTCTTGGATAAAGGCCAAATTTCATTACAGAATGACATTTAGAAGGTTGAAGTTTTATAACATTAAGATGTAGTTGAAAAAAAATGCTGTTTTTTTTTTCTTTCAGGCAAAAATTCCATTTGAAGGCAATAAGTTATACTGCAGTGAGATTTTAGCTATTCTTTTACAGAATCATGATGGTGAGTAAAATGTTATGAAGGAAAAAAAAAAAAATATATATATATATATATATATATTTATATATATATATATAATTGACAAATATAAAAAATAAACTGTTATACTTTCTTCAAATCAGTGTAATAGAAAGAGTTGAAAGTAATAAGATGGGTTTTAATTTTTGATAAAAACTGAAATGTTTAAAGGAGTATATTTTGGACTGTTAAATAAAAAGTAAATGGACTAATTTGCATATTTTTTTCCTTTTTCAGAAAATCAGGAACTTTTAGGAGAGATGGATGGCATTGATGTTTTACTTCAGCAGCTAGCGGTAAATTTAAAGAAATGTCCAAGATTATTTTTATAACTCGGTTAATTAATTTGTGCATATCCTTGTGCCATTTTGAATAATTGTAAAATTATGACAGCAAGTCACAAAATTTGGTTAAAATTAGTAGTCACAATTGACTTAGTATTTTCCAACTCACACAAAGCTTATAATTTTAGCTTTCCTTTATGGCAAGTAAAAAATGAAATTTGGACATATAAAAAAAATTACCAATTACAAAATAAATATTCTACATTTAATTAATTACAGTGGTTTTAAATAATTCTGCTAATAATAATGATTGCTGTTAATCTTCAATAAGATATTCCTACTATTTTAATATGCTCTGCCATGTGATAGTGGGACTAGAAAAAACATAAATTATATTTCTGAAAGAACAGCCGGGAGATGAGGATCTAAATTCATCTTCCTGGAAATTTTTAAAATCAGGTAAGAGGGTATAAAGGAAAAATATATTAACATTACCTCGCCTAGAAACTCTTCAGCAACTACTATCTCTGTGTACAGGTTTACAAAAGGCATGACCCAAGCAGTGGAGAGGAGGGAGAGTACATGGAAAACCTTTTCAACAGTCTGTGTGCGGCGCTCATGCTGCCCTCCAATAGGGACAGGTTTCTCAAAGGTGAAGGACTGCAGCTGATGAACCTCATGTTAAGGTGAGTCCTGCTTAAGTTTTGTTTGTTTGTTTGTTTGTTTGTTTTTTGTTGACCAATTTCAAAAATGGCCAAATTGAAAATAGAGAATCAGTCTTAGTAAAGACTGTGAAGAATTTTAGTTGACTAAGTTATGCTTCATAAAGAATTTTAAAGGGCACTTAAGTTATTTTTACATTGTTTGAAGTAAATTAAAGCTTCTAGAGCAGATGTGGCTGTTTTTACTACAATATTTATTGACAGTTATTGATCACAGTACTACATTTTGGTTTGGGAACCGCATTTATTGTTGACTAGTTGCTCTTCAATGCTGATAAATACAGAATTGCAGAGTCAGCTTTAGTAAGTTTGATATTGAGCTAACTCTTTATCCCCAGAGAGAAGAAAATGTCCAGAAACAGTGCCATTAAGGTCCTAGATCATGCTATGACGGGGCAGGAAGGGGGGGACAACTGCCAAAAATTTATAGATATTCTAGGACTGCGGAGTATTTTCCCAGTTTTCATGAAGACTCCAAAGGCAAACAAGAGAGGCCCGGGACCTGAGGAATTAGAAGGTGAGTCTTGGAGCTTTATGTCTGAGGAGCTGTACTTGACTTATTTTGCTATCAAAATTCAATTATAAACTATTGACTGAGGTTTTTAGTAGTCAGCCTTTCACATCATCCACTAATGTAAGTTTTTTTTTTTTTTTTTTTTTTTTTTTGATGGATGACAAAAATTCCCGGAGGTTCATTTTTTCAGTATTTACAGCATGCACAAAGTTCAAACAAAATTGATTTTCAAATTCAAACTGTGGTTGATTAGTTATACCAGAGAGAGATGATGTCAAAGTTTTTGTAAAGCAAGTTTGATATACGTGCCAGAAATGCGTGTGTGTGTGTGTGTGTGTGTGTGTGTGTGTGTGTGTGTGTGTGTGTGTATTTTGTTTTTTTTTTTATAAATCTGTCTGACAGCACAGTTATGTCATTTTTCAGAACACATCTGTTCCATAATTGGTTCCTTACTGAAGAACTGCACCGGAACCCAGCGCCAGAGGCTACTCAACAAATTTACAGAAAATGACCATGAAAAAGTAACTAAAATTCTGTCAAATATTTCATCTTAATTTGAAGGTTGAAGGTGTCATGGAAATTGAGAAGTTACTGCTTTTTTGCTGGGATCATGCGATTAGATTTTTGTTGTGACTGTAATAATTCCTGTTATCACAGTGGCAATGACTGGATGAAATATGACCAAATGTTTTATATTTGTTTTCTCTACACAAATTTGATTATCTTTAGCAGTCAGAGAAATTATTGTATTTATTGGTAGCATAGTAAATTTAATTTATTTATTCATTAATTTTTTTTTTTTTTTTTGCTTGTTAAGCAGTTATTGTTATTTACAGAATTTATTTTTTCTCCCAGGTTGATAGGTTAATGGAACTCCACTTTAAGTACCTGGAAAAAGTGCGACAAGTGGACCTGCAGATTGAGAAAGAGAAAAATGTGAGTTTCTTTTATGACTATATCTTTTTACTTAGGTGAAAAGGTTAACAACTGTAACACTAATATAAAATATTGGGTCATAGGAAATATCCTAAAATTCCAATTAGCTGCGCATTTTCTTAATATTTGTGTTATTGAAATGAATACTAGATAAGTATTTATGCTTTAAAAACAATGGCTGTTGCCCATAAATTCATTCCAAATTGCTTTTAAAATTTCTAGAAATTGTTGGGCACTGTTTGAATATTTTTAATGAGAAAATAAAGATATTTACAAATATTTTCACCTTGAGATTTTTATCATTGAATTTTTAAACAAAATAAGTTTATTTCTTACAGAATTGTTACTTAAAATAGTAAACACACTATGGAGAGATGAAATAAAAATGAGAGAAAATGTAGAAAGGTAGAACATGCACAAAAGTAGATCAATTTACATCAGATATAACACAATGTCATTTAAATTTCATTGTCTGTATTTCAGGATCTGAAGTTCTTTGGTGGTGATATTGATGATGATATGGAGGATCAGTTTTACCTGAGACGTTTAGATGCTGGACTCTTTACACTGCAACTGGTTGATTTTATCATGCTGGAAATATGTGTTACTGGAGTGCCATCTGTAAGTGTGAGATATGTGTTACTGGAGTGCCATCTGTAAGTGTGAGATATGTGTTACTGGAGTGCCATCTGTAGGTGTATGCATTCATTAGCCACCAGTCCAGAGCAGCTGACTAGTAGATTTGACATACTAGGTTTTTAGAGGTTGTTTGATCATAATTGTGGGGATTTTAGTTGTTATTGCTGTATTTCAACTGGGAGGTTTTCTAACTTTTTTCACAGAGATGCCTCTTTATTTGCAGGTAAAGCAGCGTGTCATGCAGATATTGAACTTACGAGGAGGATCAGTGAAGACCATTAAAAGTGTTATGAGGGGTAAGACCATCATATATTATAAGCATGTGAAGGGCATTAGGCACATACATATTCAAATAATTATTTTTCAACCCTTTTCCCCTCACTCATGTGTCACTGGAAAATCAAAGAATATCCATTGCCATTCACAATCCACATACCCATTTTGACTTATAAATTTACCATCATGGCCCAGATGATATTCCCTGGTTTCCATCTCCATTACTGAGAAGTTAAAACTTGGGGAACTTGAAGTCAGAGCATACTTTGTGAACAATCTTAGATATGGTATGCCTTAGTGATTAAGGAAATGGTGTTGACATTTCAGAAGTATATATATATATATATATAAATTTTTTTTTGTAAGTTGAGCACTAATTGTGTCTTTAGGATGAAATAAAAAAGAAAACATTTCATCTGTAAGATTTCATGTAATGATTGGATGAAAGTTTCATTTATCAAAAAAATTGCTTCATAGCAGCCGAATGTCAAATCAGTTCAAACTTTTTATAAGATATAGTGGACAAACAGTTAATTGGAAAAATAAATTTGATAAATTTTGACTCTTATGTAGTCTAAAAGGAGATTTTTAAAGCTCCTTATTTTGACATTTTAGAGTATGCAGGAAACATTGGGGATGCAAAGAATCCTGAAGCCAAAGAAGCAGAGCAGTCCAAAATTCTCGATCTGGTCAGCAAATTTTGAAGGGAAGAAAACAACATGTAAAGAGGATATGTGAATTTCAACATAAGTGAAGGGGATTATATATGTGAAAGGTAATGTCGTTGATGACAAAGAATATAACAGTACAGGCATGACTGTCTTGCATTGATTGGTATTGTCAAGAACAAGGTAAATTCCAAATGTTAGGAAAGGATAGCAAAATCACAGTATGCTGGAAATAAATTGCGTCTAATAATAGTGTCAGTGAGCCAGCATAGGGATGGGAATGGCTCCTATGGTTAGAAAGTGTAGTCCATGGTGTACTGTGTCCAGATGACAAAGCCTGACAGGTAGTGGATCAATAGAGACAGCCCCTCCTACTGCAGTTAACTTAGCCTGTGGTATGGCCTTCACTGAGAATTTCCTGTCAGATCCTGAACATTTCATTTTCAGTCTTGATAGGTTCTGAGCTGTTATGCCACATATCAAGGACGAAAAGGCTGAATACATTATACTCTAATGTATACTATCCATTATACTATAGAATACTTATTGAACTTTTCTATTGGATTTTTTGGACAGGGAGGGAGAAAGATATCAGACTTGAGCATTGCATGATGTGCTTCTCATAATTATGGGCGGAGATACTGAATTACGTAACCATTAATTTTTAATGAAAAAGAATCTTCCTTCAAAAAAAAAAAAAAAAAAAAAAAAATGGATAAATTGCATAGTAAGCTGTCTATGGAACAACGTGTATTCCTACAGAGAAAAACAAAAGAAAGTTCAGAAAAATACCAATTAAGCTTTGGTAATTCTGCTAAGAGTGGAATGTAAAAATGTCAATAAATTCAATTTTTATACAGTGAACACATTTATTTCTTGCCTGACTTGACAATATGCACACTGATTGATTTACAGTTATTGATAAACAAAAATAAAGTGTAATTATTTAACACAGTACGATGAAGCAAAGATGCAATAACGGAGTGGAGAATTTCAGCAGCCTTTTGCAGTTTCTTTGGTTCTCTTTTTCACAACCCTTAGTAACCTCTGCAACTTGGGGTACTTTTCATGCAAGTCGGACGGAATGTGAGTATTACAAAAAAAGATCTTATAAAATACCTTAAATAAAATGCACAATCATCTTATTAGTAATACAATAAACATAAAACATGTTAAACTTGCACTAACCCACAAACAAAAATGAGATTCTTTTCTTTATCCATGAGATGGACAGACTAGTATAAATTCCACAAAATAAACATTCTTATGAGGTTAACAATTATTGAAATCCTTAAACAACACTTTAATTAAATAATAAATGCTACCAGTTGATAAAATTAAATCCATGTAACAGCAGATCTTGCATAATATTATTGTAATGGCCACACATCAACCAGACACTCCCCTATTATAATGTTCTGCCCCTGTCTTATGACAGAACAGTATTCATGTAAAAATCAGACTGCATATTATGGACAATAATAGTTGGTCCCAATTAATACAATGTATGTAAGGTCTACTGTAGAATAGCAGTTATCAAAATGATACAATCTTTAAAACTGCACCAAAACAAACATTTGCAAACAACTCTGTTCTCTCTTAACACATAGGGAGATTTGGACGCAAGCTTAAAACTGAAGATTTGTTTCAAAAAAACAACACCAAATATTACACTTTCCTTGAATGAGTGGTAATAAACACATGAACAAATGTAATGAGAGTGTGGCAGGTTGTATACAACCCTGTCATGTTTTTCCCCATTTGAGCTGAACTGATCATGTATATTTGAGTATATCAAGTACAGAATGTCAATGAGTCCTAAAAAAATATTGGAGCAGGTGACAAGTTTGAGATTTGTGCATGATAAGTACAAACATGCCAATATTTTACATTAATCATCCCAGATCTAAGAAATTGCATTTTTCATTACTGGTCGACTTTTGCCCAAAGTTATTTGTAATCATTTGAAAAGCTAGATTCCGCGATGGATTTAAGTACAAAGATGGTTGGATTCTGATGGATAATCTCAGTCAATGCCAATAGGAAAAATTATCCAAAGATTTAATTGAAATGTTTTTCATTTTCAGTAATATTGCAACTGGCAGAGTTGTAATTGGTTACACAATTCTAGTAATGCTGTTTCAATTCAGATCTCTATTAACATAAGTTCCTTGTTCTCCATTTAAGCCCTCTGACCTCTGTTTAATGCCTGCTGATACTTATTCACACCCTCCCTTGGAGCATATATTGCTGAGGACGTGGTGGGCCTCAGGGACGCCTTTCTGTGCTGCATGCTGAACCAGTCTGTGGGCCTCACTGGAATTGAATAAAGACATCAGATTGCAGGAATCAAAAGAGTAATATAATAAATATACGTTTCCCTGACAAATAATGCACATTTTGAGACTTGCTATTTCTGACCATTATACAATAAGTCTATTATACTGGGCCCAGTTTCATCAACACTGGATAGTGCTATCCTATGGATAATGCTGTCCACTGTATAAAATTGTTATCCTATGGAAAGTTGTCCTGAAGAAGGCAGCCATTTTTAACCACTGGATAGCAACATCGAAAACAAAAATATTTGTCTAGCATTTAGGAAACATAACTTTATCCACAAGGTAACTGTCCAGGGCCCAGTTTCATCAATACGGGATAATGCTATCATATGGATAACACTACATATCCTTCAGATAAAATTGCTCTCCTCTGGAAAGTTATCCTGAGGATAGTAGCCTTTTTTAACAACTGGAAAGCAATATCAGAGACAGAAAAAAAGTATGTAGTGTTTAGTAAATATTACCTCACCCACCGGATAATTCTCCAGATGATAACAATTTTATCCAATGGATAGTGCTATCCAGTATTGATGAAACTGGACACTGCTGCATTTGTTTGATGGTTGTTAAATAATGCTGAAAATTCCAGATTCAGTATACCATAGGTGAGTGTCTTTATGTCAGTCTACTCAAGGTCTATTGCCATTTTGTTCAAATTTGGAGAGCAATCACCACAAACTTACCCTCTGGGTAATGTGTGTAACCCATTCAGGTGGCCCACTGCCAGATTGTAGGAGGCATGAGGATGTCCCTGATCTGCTGCTTTTCTAAAATAATAATAATAACAATAATAATAATAATAATAATAATAATAATAATAATTTATTGAGTTCTAAAAGGTTATTTTAAATTTTCACATTTACTGGATCCTGATAAATACTGTTCTTGATAAAAGGAATAGTATTGAAATACAATTAAATACAATATTAAATCATAAATAGAAAACAAAGTAATGTTGGGAGCTGACAAATGGAAATAGAAAATACAGTGACTACTGATCACTGGCACTACTCAAGGTATAAAACTACAGGTACGAGCCTTCTACTCTGCTGGCTCTCATTTTGTTGACTATAGTTTGACTATGACTTCCACTATGAAGTACTGATAACCTGGTGAGTGCAGTAGGTCAGAAAATGAACCAGCATTGGGAAACTGGCTATCACATCAATTTCTCTTTGTTTAACTAAAATATTTTACTGTTCTCAGATAATGGTCGTATAAAGTATGACATGTTATTAGGCACAACTGAGTATGTCAATATAATTGTTCAGTCGGAGGGGGCAAAAAGAAAGTTACCTTTTTTTTTAAATTGCATCTCATTTTACTAAAGCATTTACATAAATAGAATTAACAAAAATTGCTGCAAATTGTGACTTAATATTTCAGTACTTTTAAACCAACATAAAACAATTGCGAGAGCAGTGGTACATATATGTAGAAGTTGACTGCTGTAGTGGTAATTGTGAGAGTTCCCTGACAGCACAAGTTACAATAATCAATCAATTTGTAATGCTTACTTAAACCATTCCATTGCTTTGCCTTCATGTTTTTCAACACCATGACCTGGAATTTTAAAAGTAATCAGTGAAATTACCACTTCCGACAGAGAAAGCGAAGAAAAAAGTAGTCTCGAAACGCAAAGTGTGTAACATTTATTTTTAATAGAAACAACATTTATGTAACATGAAAACAGCACACATATTTTATACAATAAATTCTAAAGATTGTAAGTCTTAATAAGCTATATTATAATATCAAAATGCAAAGAGTGTAATATTTATTTCTAATAGAAATAATATGAATATAACATGAAAACCTGCAAATATTGTTTTATACAATGAATTTTTAGGATTGTAGATCTAAGTCATAATAAGTTGTAAATACATAAAATAATTATTTTTGATAGTGAAATCAAGGAAAACTGACCTTGCAAAATCAAATGAAAACATTTACATTAATTCCTAAAAGATATGATAATCACAGAAGTTCACCCACAAACTTCCAGGAAATACATTTATTCCCTCACTGAAATGTCAAAAACAATATAAACACCACATATAAAAGACTAGTCTTACCATAGAGATATCTCTGTCCCACCAAGTGTTGTGCGTGCTCATAGCCAAGGTGAGCGTACCCGTGAATCACATGGAAATGGAGGTTATCAAAGTAGTAGTATGCATAGAGACAGAACGCAAACACCAGGAGAATGATGAATCCCTAGAAAATATGGAAATAAAATTTACTTTGGATGAATCAAAGTATACAAGGTGAAACAATTTGAAATAAACCATCCCAGCAAACTGATTCAGTGCCTGGTAATATATGTCTGAAGAAAAAAAAAGTTTCAGCTGCATTAAAAAGTGGCTATATTAACATGCAATACTGTGATCAATCTTAAGCCTTTAATTATTCATGCCAAACGATGCAGTATAGAGTTTTCTTTGCCCTGGAATAATAATCAATAAAAGGTCTAGAAAGTAACCGATGGCATCAGATAATGACACGTCATTTAAAATGAATAGTAGAACTATAGACCTATTTGCAACACCGACATTTCATCTTACTGTGTGCCCTTCCCATATTGCTCTAAGTTTTGTTAAGCCCCTGATAAAGGTTGGTAAGGCTAGAAGCCTAGAATACACGGCTTCAATAACAGACTGCATGTGATTGTGAAGCGCACTTGTCAACAACTTCTCTGCACTTACCTCAAACAGTCTGACGTGTAACGGATCCGGCTTTTTCTTCCGCGCAAGGTAGACTTTACCTCCATACGGCAGATTAGGGTCCCATTCATCATTAGGGGAAGGTGTCCATAAAGCATCCTTTGAACTTCGCCTGTTCCGAAGTTGCTGTGTCTCGCTTCTGGTCGCCATGTTGTTTATATTGATCATGTGACTGAGATACAAATCAAGACAGGACAAAATCGATAAAATTACCATGTAATAACATTAACGCTAATTTTTCTGAAGCTTCCGTGAAATACATAAACATGACATATCTTAACGTCGTGTAACCGCATTAAATTAAGCTTGTAACAACAGGTTTTAAGCAAATTTCCAACAGGTTAACAAGCACTTTCACATCGATATGAAACAAAACGTACGGGCTTTAATTAACGCACAATATCATTTACCTGTTTTTTTTTTTGTTTTTTTTTACAAAATGTAACATTGACTTTAAAAACTCCATATATGTTGCTGACAGAAAAGGAGGATTTAACTTGTAAATTTAGGTGGAAAAGGGGGGGGGGGGGGTGGGGGGATAAAAATAGTAGGCTATTTAGGCCCTATTAGCGGACCCAGGACTTTCAAAGATGAAAGAATTTATCCTGCAAAGCGAACAGGCAGAATACTAGATTGTCTAAAGATTTTGGGGCGGAAACTTTCCCGTTTTTTGTTTTTTTAACACTTTCTGGATCTGCGATTGAGTATCAACACAAGAAACAACGTTAGACATATAATTATATTTATATACCAAAACAACAGTAAACTGCATAGTTATTCTCTGTAAGATATCTGTGTGACTTTTTAACTACATGTACAGTTTTACCGATTTTAAGATATGGTTGTGGTAAATTGATAAATTATGGATGTTATTCCAATAGAAAAATGAAATACCACTGAATGAGAGTAATTGTGATTTCTTTTTTCTTCTTTCTTAACATTAAATCATTTCTGGCATGATTTTTTTCAAGCTCATAAAACAAATAAAGTGTATAATGTCCACAAACAATTCGAAGTTTGAAATACTGTTTGATGAACACCCAGAGCGGTAAGGAAGCAAAATGTTCTCATGGAAAGAGAAGTAAAAAAATTAGAAAAGCTCTGGATGCTCTAAAATGTATCTGAACACAACCCAAACGGCATGGCCGATTCTGGACCACCAACCGCCGCCCCCGCGGTTGGCCTCGGTCGGCTGAGGAGTCGGGAGGTCACGTCTGTCAGTTTGGTTTAATGTCTCGGAGATGACTGTTTTTCCGCGTGTCTCATCCGTGTTGACATCAGAGACATTGGACGGCAGGGACTCCTTGATTTCCTAAAACAATTTTATTTAGAATTAGTTTCCGGTTCTTTTTTTTTTTTTCACAGAAAAAAAATGGGAGTAGGGCCTTCTCCATACCTTAATTACTAATTATAGCTAGGGGCAGAAAAATAAGTGAAGCCTAAAGAACATTTATAAAACAAATTACCTATTAAATATGTTTCAGTAATAGTAAGTGAAGCCCAAAGAACATTTATAAAACAAATTACCTATTAAATATATGTTTCAGTAAAAGGCAGATTGTGTTTTATCTTCTTCAGTAATAATCAACAATCAACGTTTTATATGAGGAAATGACGAGCTAAAATGAAACTTTTAAAAGTTATTTTAAAGCTAATACAACGTAAAACTTACCTCAATGAGGTGTTCACTGCCGTCATTTTCTGTTTCATTGTTGTTCATATCCATCTGAGATGCGGCATCTGGTACGGGTTCGCCCTGTGGGTCATGGATAACTGCAGAGGAAGCTAACTTTTGCATCTCTCCTTTGCTGTACTTTGCTGCATCTGTGGAGCTTTCTAGCTCCTCTCCATATGTTGTTACTGAAGTGTTTTGTTCTTCATCATGTGTGTCGTCAGGCTGCACCTCTTCGCTCTCCAGGGCGGATTCATCTTTCAGGTCTAGCAGTTGTGCGTTAGCCTCTGGTTCTGGAGGTAGGTGAAACTGCGCCTCTTTCACTTCTTTTGGTTTTTCTTGGGCCAAAGAGGGCGCTGATACCGTTGGTGCCGCCTCCTCCTCCTCCTCCTCGATCCGTCCTAAAGACATGTCTGCCCACACGCCGGAATCGTTGCTTAGGTCATCGATTGGGTTGGCCCCGTCCTTGTCATCGTTGTCAGTAACAGCAGGGGTGACATTTACATTTTGAAAGCTCTCGGTTTCATCGGGTAATTCTGCACCTCCGCTTTCTGCATCTTTCTCCTGCTCCCTAACGAGTCTCGTAATCCTGTCATAGTAATCTTCTGATGAGGTGGGATGGGAGAAACGAAGTCGCATTTGACGGGCCTTTCTTACGTTGTTATCTAGAAAGACAACATACTTTATAAATGCTGCAAAACGTACAGATAAAATATGCCAGTTATAGACTGCATGCTTCGATCATGATGACCCTTTAGTTTGTGGCTAAATAGTTTTATGATTATCAAACAGTGTATACGGCATTAATAGTCAATATAAAAGCTTTTAAAAACCAATACAAATAGCGCGGAATAGTCATCAATCGTGTGTGAATACATCATGGGCTACTACAGTAGCCTAAACATTGGATATTGTACCTAGACTGATCTTCCTCCTGGCCCAGTAGACCACCAACCCCTGGGCTAGGGCACACACCACCCAGGCTACAACCACCAGCCCATCATGTATGGGATCACCATTGAAGCGGGGAAGACGTACGTAGACGTCATGGACTTTGTACGCAACCTTCTTCAACACAGAATACAGAAGTGCTGAAAAAAGAAGAGGGCAATGTTTTGATTTCTACCTGTGCCTAATAACGTTATTGTAATAAAACAATATTTGAAATGAAGATAATTAAGTGTTGTAACATGTTAAATTGAAAACATTTCTGGCAATGTAGATGTGCTTCAAAAGGTGATATTTTAAACGGGAATTGCATGGGACCAGGGTGATTTCAATTTGTATGTTGTACCTACCTTTAGCCGCTTCGACGTCCAAGCCCTGATACAGGTAAGTTGTAATTTTATTTCCCAGGTTCATCCCATTGTGGCAGGCTCTTGCAAACCCCTCCTTAACTTTCCATACACAGTCTGTTATAGATGTGATGACCTTCTGGGTAATGTCCAAGGCTGGCTGTGCAATACATTTACTGAGGAACTCTTGGGCGTTCTCTAGGATTTCGTTTGTCTTTGACGCCACATCAAATCCTGTCTCACAGACTTTCCGAAGGAACGGCACGGTGTTGTAGCCTTTGCAGACCTTATCTTTGTGCGTCTCACGCACGAAGAGCCTTCTGGTGATTTCAAAAATTCTGTCGTATCCTTCAGCCAGAGAAGAGACAAGTTGTGGAGGGTATTCAGCAGCATGGAACAAGAGTGTACAGGCGCTCTTTGCGTACCAGTTGGAATGTCCTTTACACTTTCGTTCCACGGGTGACTCGGGAACTAAATAGAGGCGCACTCGAGCGATGCCATTATCAATGTGTGCTACAAGCCCGTCCTTGAATGACCTGAAGACTTCTTCTGCAGACTTCTTGCTGCCTTCAATGGCCTGTACAATGTCATGCACTGAAATGAAAAAAGTGAGATGTATAATGTTCAATCAAATTCATTTACATAGAGCATGCATCAAAATCGCATGCTATCTAATGGCAGACACATGTAAGACACTAAATGGACATTATTCAACAACTGAACACGTTTTCAAAATGCCAGAAAGAAGAAGATAATTAGCCAGTTTGACATACTAGTAGCCAAGGATATCCATATATGGCACAACTGTCTCACCTATTGCTGCTGATGTTGCCTGAACTTTGTCGCAGTAGTTATTAAGAAGAGCATAAAGGCTGTGTTGCCAAAAAACAAAGTGACTGTGACTCTTGTCTTTAACGTCGGCGATGCTTTGAACAGCGTCCTGATAGGCTGAGAAAGCTACAGCCTTGAAGTAAGAGGCATTCCACCCACGGTCTGAAAAATATTTGACATTTTAATGAATCAAAAGAATGATGGATAAAGGCGGCGTTAATTTTGTTATGCGGCACGGTCCAATCAAAACTCTTAGACTATCTGTTGCCACACTCATCATTATGATTCTGCACGTTAAAGCGTGCTTTGAAATCCACTCTTTTTTTTTTAAGATAAGCTATCCATTTAAAAAGTATGGACATTTGTACTAATCGAACACAAACCCGCTTTATTTTTAACCAAGAGCTTGTTTCCTTACAGTTTTCCTTTGATCATTCGCTTGATAAAGTACCAGGAAGTTTGATACAATGTACCACTGATTGGGCATTTTTCTCTAAGCTTTTTATTTATTTATTTATTTATTTACTGTAATTCAGTCTACATCAACTTCATTCAAACATGTCTGAAGCCGAATTCAATAAAAAAGGGACTCTCACCAGTACTAGTTTTGTTTCCTGTCTTGGTTGTTTCATCATGGTTCGTTGGAGGTGGTTCATTTCCAGCGATTTCTTCATTAAAGTCAGTGCTGAAGAGATGTCTACTGGCGCCGCTCCTCCTTCTCGTTGTTGTTCTTGTAAACCATGGGTGGCCCTCCCTCGGTTCGAATTCTGTAAGATGTATCTTATGACTTACGAATTCTTCTGGACTGCTGTCCCCAGTAGCTCGAACCGATATGTTAATGTAAATCTCCAGGTTTTGATCTTCAATGTTCCTATGAGTAAGTATAAAGGCATAATAAACATTGATGTACACATTAGAAACAATTGGGTATCTACTTATGAACAAGAATTTCCAACGAAATATTTTGAAAAAACACAAAAAAAAAAACGTCTATAAGAAGCGTTTTCAGAATTTGTGCTGAGCAAGTGAAGACAGTCTACGAGCGTGAAAATTTACACCGTTTGCTTTTGTTGCTTAAACTTAAGAAGACGGTCTATACATTGAATTTGTACGTACCTGTCATTATTCTGGAGAAAGTGTAATATAAATACACAAGCAAAACTGAGAATTAATAATATTAATAACCGTAAAATCGACATATTGGAAACATATATCTTCGCATTTCCATGTTGACTTTGTAACTACGGAAGCGTCGTCGTCACATTACTTATGACGTCACATTACTATTCAAATGACGTACCGATTACGCGACGTTACGCTTCGTTGTTGAACGACGCATTGTCGCACAATGAGAGAAGAGGTCGGTTTTAAGAGTAGGATTTCAAATATAATTAATTAACTTTAAAAGATATACTTTAAGTGTTTGACAAACCTCAAAGTAATAGTTTTATGTGTAAATATGCTGCAAAGCTACTTATCTTTTACTAATCCCTTTCAAATCCAAAAAAAAAAAATTCAGGTTTTTTACCAAGAGCGGTCCTCAATAATGCTTTTTCACATTTAACCATTTTAACCATTTTTCATATTTTTTCTTATGATACAGGGCAAAGCCTCAGAGGGTCAAACTTTTCTTTTCTTACGGATTCACACGTGACGAAAGTGTTCATATTGATTACCTGGTAAGGTAATGTCTGTTTCTATTAATCCAACTATGTCATTTTGTTACGCCAGATATATTGGTGGTTCCCCCTTTCCATTCCACAAAACTCATCAGTGTTATTGTTGACGAGGGGTTTGCTGCAAGATTTAAATTTCATTTTTAAACTGGCATCGCCTATCGTTTTTTACTTTGGGTAGACTTTTCATTAAAGGTACGTTGCGATCAGCTTTTTTATTATCTTTTTTATTTTTTAAATTTATTTTTGTTAGTTTACTGTGGACATGCTCCCTTCCCAGCCAGGTTTTGTCTGTTGCTGGTATAATCAGATTTTCTTGGAGTGTCTTTGTTGTCTCTTCCATTTCCTGTCGCTGAAGATTTTCACTGCTCTTTCCAAACCTTTCGCACTGTCTTCACTTGAGGTGATCTTTCTCGTTATAACTGTCTTTTTTACTATATTCTCTCAATTGGTGTTCAGTACCCACTATTCTTTTTAGTGGGATATGGGATGCTACTTCTTACCCAATCTGTCCTTTGGATAGTTATAACCTCTTATGTAAAATGGTTCATGTGGTAAGTGCTTCTAGAAATATTCCCCATACGGTAATTCTGGGTTACGAGCTCACCCCATGAAATTTCTGGGTTCCTAATACGTTTTTGGAAAATATTAACACAAAAGGCTATGATATTGTTACTACTTCATTTGAAATGCGTTTAATGTAAACAGACTGAATAAAATGCCAAGCGTAAATCTTTTTTCTGATACGCATCTGCCTTGTTGAATTTAAAAATGAAGAATAAAATGATAAATGGTGCTTTTTACACTACACAACTACTTCACTGATATATATTGTCTTGCGTCGTATGAATTTAAAAAAAGCAGATGTAAAATCATGGGTTTACCGAAAAAATGATTCTTATGTATAGTTTACATGCCATGGTTAGGGCATAGCTAATGATCATGTTACCATGGAAACGGGCATAGCTCCAAGATTCCTTTTCAGTTTTAGTGAGGTGAATAATAGAGGGCCCTTAAATCTGCCAATTTTGGTCTTCTGCATCAACGTGCAATATGTATATATAATGTTTGTTGAATGTTCGATACATGTACCATCCAAAAGTTATTTATGCTTATAAATTCCTTCTTAACAAATATACATTTCATAATGTGACATCATGGTGAAGGATAATGATGACTAGTTTTATGACTGAACCATCAAGGTGAAGGTTTCGGATGCCCCGTTCCGTGATTTAGCCATCAAGGCGAAGGTGACGCTGTATGTTGTTGTTTAGGCATCCGCGCAATTAATTTCACCGCGGTGACCTGTTGAGACAAATGTTATGTGACGTTAAATGGGGTTTTCGATCTAGCACTACTTAAAGTTTATAACTTTCTATGTTTCATGGACAAAAACGATGTTAAATGTAAATATTATACTATTATGTAAGGGCTGGATTGACTGTGGACAATGAAACAAGAACGTTGTTTACAGTTCTTTGTTAGTTATAAAATCAGCTGGCTGACCGTGGCGACATTGCCAGTATCTTCCGCTTTTGGTCATCAGATGTATTGTAGAGAGTAAAGTAGAAAGATAAATAGCATTTTAATACATGCTATGTTATCAGTCTATACTGGCATTAATTAACACTTGGACCAAATTGAGAACAGAATTACTCACACATACCGTGCTCAGTTTCTGCCTTTTCACATAAGCGTTTGAAACGGCCCGAAGAAACAAGCTTCTCAAACCCTTCATTCCACTTAGTGTTGAAGTCATTATCCTTACGGGTCATCATTGCTGATGCTCCGGCATTCTTACAGAAGAGGGGGTACTCTGGATACCGTTGGACATTAGTGCCAGCTATTTTAATGTCCATCACAGACCTCATGATAAACCCCACGTCTACCTGTAAGGTTTGTGGAGCGTAAAATTATTGGTGCAGAAAACACTGAAATTTGATAGCATTCAAGAAGGTTGGTACCGCCGAGAGCTTGAACATGTCAGCCTCAATGTATCAAAGTGCTGAAGTTCTCTAAATGATCTTGCAGACGCATTTGGACACCGTGAATGACGATGGTAAATCTGAAATTGGGCGTTTAAATTTGAATAAAAATATTGAAAGCACGATCAATTTCAAAATCAATTTCATGGAATTTTTTGGCATCGATAATATGACTTCTCAGTCTTGAAATTACGACTTGTATGATCTTTTTGGGCCTATTTCACACACACACACAGACATAAACATATTTGACCTATTTCATAGATATATGGCCCTTAACCAAAACGTGCCTTTAAAAAATAAATTTCAGACATCAAAAATAATCTGCCTGATTGTTACTGGTTGAAATATACTTCTTCCTCATATTGCAAGTTATGCAAATGGCTGACAAAGGTGATGCTCTGATTTTAGGATATAACAGATGTTACACTTTTAAATAAAGATGGGCTGCAACACAGTGGGTGTAATTAAGTACGTCAGACTATGGGTTTTTGTTATTCTTTCTATACGTTACTTATATACAGTACTTTTGGGATATAAACCATGTTGACAATTCCACCAATGAACAGGTTGCTGTTGCACTTGAGATGCGACAGTAACACTGAGCATAGCGTGTAACGCCCTTTAGTGCGTATTTTCCGCCGATTTCTGATATATAAATCTAGTTTTTTCACTCATTTTGGTACAAAATAACGGATCCAAACTTAGTTCATGATAATGAGTTAAAAATAGCAGATAAGTTGAGAGAAATCGTGCAAAAACTCGATTAAGAGGCTTGTTCTGTATTATGAAAGGTTAAGAGACAAGGGTACAGAAAGAGGCCCTTGTATGTCTAGTCACGTTTTGGCAAAGGGTCATATATATATATATATATATATATATATATATATATATATATATATATATATATATATATATATAACCCTTTTGGCGTATATGTCAAAGAACGGCACAAAACTGAGAACGTAGGTAAAACACTTAGCTTGGGTTCCAATACTTAGATCGATCCATCTGGATCGACCTAACTCCCTGGGGAGTCTCCCTAAATTGCTATCAAATAACCGGCTTATATGTCTGTCACGCCTACCGAATCACCTAGGAGGTAAAGATAGTTACCCTCTAACAGCTTTACTAGCGTGACAGACATTTAAGCCGGTCAAGCAATTGAGTGAGACTCCCCAGGGAGAAAGATCGATCCATATATATTTGTGGGAATGGTCTCTTACAGTGCGGTTCAAGATCATAGCCACGAGGTCGTCAGGCGTGTGTGCATGGAAAATGTTGGAGTGCGGGACGTCTCTTCCAGCTACTTGGTCCAGTCCAGCAAGGCAGGCTTCGTTAGTGAATCCCCCGCTTACCAGTCCTGTAAAGAGTAAGTGTGTGTTTACATGTTAACAAACAGAGTGTTGTTGTCATGAGATTCAAGTTTGTAGTTTTACCTAGCCTGCTTAACTTTGGCAGCGTGTGAAGTGAAGTCGACCTTGCGATATTGCGAAAAGAGCGCTTTACGAACGATTGCCTTTGTACAAATCAGCTTTGTCGACTATGAATATCTATGCTTAGTCTTATTTTGACTTTCGTCGTTTAATGAGACAGCTAAATGCCATTGGCCTGTTTCACAATAGAACTGTAGTTTGGAAATTTGTCTAAACTTCAAGTCAAAAGATTAAGCCTTCTGATAACCAAAAACCTCAGTAGTATAACATATCTCGCTCGTTTTGTAACAATTAAGACTGCTTCTGTTACAGTACAGACCAATTATGCGTACTTTATCTTTTGTAGTATCTTTTGCGGGAACAACGCAGCAAATCTAATTTTCCTAGAGAGAAAAAAAGCATTTCCCAAAGAAACGAATCAGCATCTGGGATTCGACCTTTTGTCTTATTTCTCAATAAATAACTTGGTTCAAAAATAATCATGATTGATTTTGACGGCTATATATAGTCTCTCTCGCATTTTTAAGGAAATAGAGACTTCAGGCCTTTTTAACTGAGGGAACTTATCGTTATTAAGAACAATGGTCTGTAAGAGTCAGATATGGGCTTAGAGAAATCACAATTCAAAATATCTTTTCCAAAATCAGAATACATGATAACTCACCCATTTTCTTCCCAGTGATATTGAATGGATTAAATCCAGGAAAGGCGTAGAAATGGGGCTCAAGAGGTTTCAGAAACGGCTTGGAAAATTCGAAAATCTGCTTCCGTTGACGTGTGGCCAGCCATCCGGTGCAGGCGTCGTACCAACCTTCCATAAGTCCTGAAATGATGCCACGTATAGACAAAATTCAGGGTAAAATTTATACTCCAATAGTTGAATTTCAATATCATGTTCAACATTAACTATAAACAACTATAAACAAAAGTTAAACATATAGGAGAAACATCACTCCTAGATCAGTATATCGTGTAATATAGCGTGTAACAGTTTCAGGCAAACTATACATTTTAGGATAAAACTAAAAAATCGTCAGAAACCTTGATTACCTTAGAAGAACCGACCTCGCCAATGTGAGTAGGTTTGCTGTCAGCTTAAGCAAAACACTTTCATGATTCACTTTAATTATTTAATTATTGCCTCACATTAAACTTACCCAGTTATTCAAAACATTGAAGAAATACAATTAAAAGGAGAAACAAATGAAATTTGATATGATATAAAGAAAACAGAATCTGATCTCCATACCTTGCCCCCCGCGCATCGGCTGCCCTCTCTCCGAGATCATACAATTGGTGGATTGGTCCGTGACCGTCCTACAATCCATATCCGCCTCCAGGCAGACTCAATAAAGAATAAATGAATAAATGAGACAGTATTTCCAAGTTGATATTTTAGCATTGTTATTGTTTTCAAACACGAACAGAAAACGAACCAAACAAAATGTTCAAAAGGAAATTTAGATTACCTGCGTCTATTAAGTCGTGAATGAATCCAATTGGAAATCCGCTGACGTCTCTGAAAAGTTATACGGAAAGTTAAATTTATCAGATATGCAGATTTTACCCCCCCCCCTCTCTCTCTCTCCCTCTGACACACAGACACGCGCACACACACACACACACACACACACACACACACATGCTCGCGCGCACACGGCATGTGGCCAATGCTTCTACTTACTTATATACATAAGGCCCAGTATCATATTCAACGGCAATTGTGTAAATTCTCCTTTTGTTTGAGGCCTGATATCGGTTGATGGCGTCATAGGCCCTACTGGGAGGCTGATTTTGCTGAATATATGCCGTTGTACCCTGGACTGCTATGTCGGAGCCAGCAGGGTTGGAGATTGCGACGGCTGAGATGATGAGCGCAATTATCGCAACCAGAACACATGTCACTATGGTTACTATCAGTACGCGACTGGCTGGAAGAAAGTATATTTAAGCACTAAATCAAATAAGAGACATTCACAAGTGACAACTCTTAATAAGGATAAGAATGCACACTGTAGAAACCACCTGTGAAGTAAATTGCTGTAGATTATCTCAGTGAAATGCGATGCGTTCAACGAAAGCTTATATCAAGAATGTAATAAGAGTTGCTCATACTTTTACAAATTAGTAAATATGTCGGAACTTAAAGTTTGTTAAAACCACCATAGGAGCGTCAAATTTGGTAACCACATATTTTCCATGTTACCTTCCCTTTGGACTTTTATATTGTATTCATCAGTTATGTCATGTTTCACATGTTCGCCAAATCATTCTTTGAAAAAATCTCGCGTACATAAAAATAACTGATTTTATAAATCTTTTCTGGCTAAAGAAAACATTTATCAAAATATTTGGAAAGGCAGGNAGTGAGGTGAATAGTAGAGGGCCCTTAAATCTGCCAATTTTGGTCTTCTGCATTAACGTGGAATATGTATATTAATGTTTGTTGAATGTTCGATACATGTACCATCCAAAAGTTATTTATGCTTATAAATTCCTTCTTAACAAATATACATTTCATAATGCGACATCATGGTGAAGGATAATGATGACTCTTTTTATGATCGAACCATCAAGGTGAAGGTTTCGGATGCCCCTTCCGTGATTTAGCCATCAAGGCGAAGGTGACGCTGTATGTTGTTGTTTAGGCATCCGCGCAATAATTTCACCGCGGTGACCTGTTGAGACAAAAGTTATGTGGCGTTAAATGGGGTTTTCGATCTAGCACTACTGAAAGTTTATAACTTTCTGTTTCATGGACAAAAACGATGTGAAATGTAAATACTATACTATTATGTAAGGGCTGCATTGACTGTGGACAATGAAACAAGAACGTTGTTTACAGTTCTTTGTTAGTTATAAAATCAGCTGGCTGACCGTGGCGACATTGCCTGTATCTTCCGCTTTTGGTCATCACATGTATTGTAGAGAGTAAAGTAGAAAGAGAAATAGCATTTTAATACATGCTGTGTTATCAGTCTATACTGGCATTAATTTGAGAACAGAATTACTCAGACGTACCGTGCTCAGTTTCTGCCTTTTCACATAAGCGTTTGAAACGCCCCGAAGAAACAAGCTTCTCAAACCCTTCATTCCACTTAGTGTTGAAGTCATTATCCTTACGGGTCATCATCGCTGATGCTCCGGCATTCTTACAGAAGAGGGGGTACTCTGGATACCGTTGGATATTAGTGCCAGATATTTTGATATCCATCACAGACCTCATGATAAACCCCATGTCTACCTGTAATGTTTGGGGAGCGTAAAATGATTGGGGCAGAAAACACTGAATTTTGATAGCATTCAAGAAGGTTTGTACCACCGAGAGCTTGAACATGTAAGCCTTAATGTATCAAACCGCTGAAGTTCTCTAAATGGTCTTGGAGACGCATTTGGACACAATGAATGACGATGGTAAAGTTGGAATTGGGCTTTTAAATTTGTATAAAAATATTGAAAGTACGATCAAAATCAATTTCAAGGAATTTTTTGGCATTGATAATATGACTTCTCAGTCTTGAAATTTCGAACTACAAAATGGAACAATACGACTTGTATGACCTTTTTTTTGGCCTATTTCACACACACACACACACACACACACAGGCACACATATTGGACCGATTCCATAACCAAAACGTGCCTTTAAAAATACCAAATGTCAGACATCAAAAATAATCTGCCTGATTGTTACTGGTTGAAAGACTTCTTTCACATATTGCAAGTTTTGCAAATGGCTGACAAAGGTGATGCTCTGATTTTAGGATATAACAGATGTTACACTTTTAAATAAAGATGGGCTGCAACACAGTGGGTGTAATTAAGTACGCCAGACTATGGGTTTTTGTTATTCTTTCCATACGTTACTTATATACAGTACTTTTGGAATATACCATGTTGACAATTCCACCAATGAACAGGTTGCTGTTGCACTTGAGATGCGACAGTAACACTGGGCATAGCGTGTAACGCCCTTTGGTGCGTATTTTCCGCCAATTTCTGATATATAAATCTACTTTTTTCACTCATTTTGGTACAAAATAACGGATCCAAACTTAGTTCATGATAATGAGTAAAAAATAGCAGATAAGTTGAGAGAAATCGTGCAAAAACTCGATTAAGAAGCTTGTTCTGTATTATGAAAGGTTAAGAGACGAGGGTACAGAAAGAGGCCCTTGTATGTCTAGTCACGTTTTGGCAAAGGGTCATATATATATATTATATGACCCTTTTGGCGTATATGTCAAAGAACGGCACAAAACTGAGAACGTAGGTAAAACACTTAGCTTGGGTTCCAATACTTAGGCTCTATTCCCATAGATTTTAGATCGATCTATCCCCGCGGGGAGTCTCACTAGATTACTTTCAGATAATCCGACTTAAATGTCCGTCCCGCCTACTACAAGCTGTAAGGGGATAATTAACTTTCGTGTCCGCCCGGCTGACAGCTATTTAGCGTGAACCCCCAGGGAGTTAGGTCGATCTAAAGTAGGTCGATCTAATCTCTGGAAATGGGGTGTTAGATAGATCCATCTGGATCGACCTAACTCCCTGGGGAGTCTCCCTAAATTGCTATCAAATAACCGGCTTAGTTGTCTGTCACGCCTACGAATCACCTAGGAGGTAAAGATAGTTACTCCCTAACAGCTTTACTAGGCGTGACAGACATTTAAGCCGGTCAAGTTGACAGCAATTGAGTGAGACTCCCCAGGGAGATAGATCGATCCATATCTGTGGGAATGGTCTCTTACAGTGCGGTTCAGGATCATAGCCACGAGGTCGTCAGGCGTGTGTGCATGGAAAATGTTGGAGTGCGGGACGTCTCTTCCAGCCACTTGGTCTAGTCCAGCTAGGCAGGCTTCGTTAGTGAAACCCCCGCTTACCAGTCCTGTAAAGAGTAAGTGTGTATTTACATGTGAATAAACAGAGGGTTGCTGTCATGAGTATCAAGTTTGTAGGTCTTCCTAGCCTGCTTAACTTTGACAGCGTGTGAAGTGAAGTCGACTTCGCGATATTGCGAAAAGAGCGATTTACAAACGATTGCCTTTGTACAAATCTGCTTTGTCGACTATGAATATCTATGCTTAGTCTTATTTTGACTTTCTTCGTTTAATGAGACAGCTAAGTGCCATTGGCCTGTTTCACAATAGAACTGTAGTTTGGACATTTGTCTAAGCTTCAAGTCATGAGATTAAGCCTTCTGATAACCAAAAACCTCAGTAGTATAACATATCTCGCTCGTTTTGTAACAATTAAGACTGCTTCTGTTACAGTACAGACCAATTATGCGTACTTTATCTTTTGTAGTATCATTTGCGGGAACAACGCAGCAAATCTAATTTTCCTAGAGAGAAAAAAAGCATTTCCCAAAGAAACGAATCAGCATCTGGGATTCGACGTTTTGTCTTATTTCTCAATAAATAACTTGGTTCAAAAAGAATCATTATTGATTTTGACGGCTATATAGTCTCTCTCGCATTTTTAAGGAAATAGAGACTTCAGGCCTTTTTTTAACTGAGGGAACTTATCGTTATTAAGAACAATGGTCTGTAAGAGTCAGATATGGGCTTAGAGAAATCACAATTCAAAATATCTTTTCCAAAATCAGAATACATGATAACTCACCCATTTTCTTCCCAGTGATATTGAATGGATTAAATCCAGGAAAGGCGTAGAAATGGGGCTCAAGAGGTTTCAGAAACGACTTCGAAAATTCGAAAATCTGCTTCCGTTGACGTGTGGCCAGCCATCCTGTGCAGGCGTCGTACCAACCTCCCATAAGTCCTGCAATGATGCCATGTATAGACAAAATTCAGGGTAAAAGTTATACTCCAATAGTTGAATTTCAATATCATATTCAACATTAACTATAAACAAAAGTTAAACATATAGGAGAAACGTCACTCCTAGATCAGTATAGCGTGTAATATAGCGTGTAACAGTTTCAGGCAAACTATACATTTTAGGATAAAACTAAAAAATCGTCAGAAACCTTGATTACCTTAGAAGAACCGACCTCGCCAATGTGAGTAGGTTTGCTGTCAGCTTAAGCAAAACACTTTCATGATTCACTTTAATTATTTCATTATTGCCTCACATTAAACTTACCCAGTTATTCAAAACATTGAAGAAATACAATTAAAAGGAGAAACAAATGGAATTTGATATGATATAAAGAAAACAGAATCTGATCTCCATACCTTGCCCCCCGCGCATCGGCTGCCCTCTCTCCGAGATCATACAATTGGTGGATTGGTCCGTGACCGTCCTACAATCCATATCCGCCTCCAGGCAGACTCAATAAAGAATAAATGAATAAATGAGACAGTATTTCCAAGTTGATATTTTAGCATTGTTATTGTTTTCAAACACGAACAGAAAACGAACCAAACAAAATGTTCAAAAGGAAATTTAGATTACCTGCGTCTATTAAGTCGTGAATGAATCCAATTGGAAATCCGCTGACGTCTCTGAAAAGTTATACGGAAAGTTAAATTTATCAGATATGCAGATTTTACCCCCCCCCCTCTCTCTCTCTCTGACACACACACACACACACACACACACATGCTCGCGCGCACACGGCATGTGGCCAATGCTTCTACTTACTTATATACATAAGGCCCAGTATCATATCCAACGGCAATTGTGTAAATTCTCCTTTTGTTTGAGGCCTGATATCGGTTGATGGCGTCATAGGCCCTACTGGGAGGCTGATTTTGCTGAATATTTGCCGTTGTACCCTGGACTGCTATGTCGGAGCCAGCAGGGTTGGAGATTGCGACGGCTGAGATGATGAGCGCAATTATCGCAACCAGAACACATGTCACTATGGTTACTGTCAGTACGCGACTGGCTGGAAGAAAGTATATTTAAGCACTAAATCAAATAAGAGACATTCACAAGTGACAACTCTTAATAAGGATAAGAATGCACACTGTAGAAACCACCTGTGAAGTAAATTGCTGTAGATTATCTCAGTGAAATGCGATGCGATCAACGAAAGCTTATATCAAGAATGTAATAAGAGTTGATCATACTTTTACAAATTAGTAAATATGTTGGAACTTAAAGTTTGTTAAAACCACCATAGGAGCGTCAAATTTGGAAACCACATATTTTCCATGTTACCTTCCCTTTGGACTTTTATATTGTATTCATCAGTTATGTTATGATTCACATGTTCGCCAAATCATTCTTTGAAAAAATCTCGCGTACATAAAAATAACTGATTTTATAAATCTTTTCTGGCTAAAGAAAACATTTATCAAAATATTTGGAAAGGCAGCATTACCTTCCAACTGGTTGGTTCTCGTCACATGATTGACATTACTGTCGCTCCTTGCATCTGACATCTTGAATTTGAGGTCTCGAACAAGGACAAATGTAATGTAATCCCTATTCGTTCATGCTAGGCACTAATTATTCCTGTTAACATAAAAAAAAAAGATCCAGCCTTCTTATGCAAACGTGACTACTTTTTATACCCTACCAGGTGAGCACAAAGCCTGCAACCAGACACCGAGCACAAATAAATAATATTCAAATGTTTGTGTTCACTCTTTTACTTGAAATAACAAGTCCCTTGATTAAAATGAACTGCTAATTAACAAAGTGGGTATTCATTAACGAACTGCAAAATCACGGTCTAAAAAGAGTATAAAAAGTCTACTTTGAAAATATTGTAACATTTTTAATGTTTTGTACATGGTGTGGTATTATATTCAATCAGTGGAAAACGTCTGTGCAGATTTCCCTCTGAATAAAGGTTTGGTTTTTTAAAAAGAAAATTGAAAAGCAAATGTTTCTTCACTTATGAACATCACTGTATAAGTACCCTTAAGACTGAAGTTAAAGCCATAGAAATGCATTAATCAGCAAAAGCGAATAAAAAGTAAATTACAAGCATTCTTACTCCTCTTAATCTTCATGGGATTTTATAGGTCAAAGCTATCACGGTTGCTAAGGTAAAACAGGTATTCTTTCCATTCCTAAATTCAACCACGTTATACTGTACATGTTCCAATACACGTCTCAGTGCTTGTCTAAGTCAGCAAAGTTATCACGAACCAAAAGAAACCGCGTGAGTTGAAAAGCTGAGGTTTTTGCGTGTAAAACTTAATTTTCTACATGATTTTTGAAAAAGTAAAATATTTCGCAAATATGAACCTGCTGAACTATACCATTTTCATTCTGCTGAATGGGGTCGCAGCTAGTTATATATGGAGCATACCGTTGGCTACGGACTCAACTTAATCCGAATTTTATAATGTGATGGATCCAGCTGTAGTAATTCAAAATGTGTATTTGCCTGATACACTTTCCCCCACTCGTATTCGTAAAATTCTTAAACACAAGCATCACCTTTTTCAAATTTTGTTAATACATGTAAGTTAACCTATGGTCTTTGTCGTAGGCCAAAACGAGGCTATAATTTTCATCTATGTCCAAACAAAAAGTTTCAGAATTACCTGTTTCAAATATTTTAACAAAACTTAGTTCTTAGCTTTATATAACCCATATAACTGCATTACCGCAGTCAGCACGGCACCGCTTGGTCGTTTTTCCTTTGCTAAAGTAGTCTCTTAAATTAAACCAGGAGCCTCGTGCGTCACATGAAAAATAAAAAATAAAACAGCTAGCTTATTTCGATTATAAAAAGTTCTGTTTTTCTTTTCTGAAGACGACATTTCTTTCATGAGACTGTTGATTTTTTCAAAAAAAGAAGTTAATAAAATTAGTCAATTGTAATGGTAATGAAATGATGATGACTATTAACTGCAGCGCTGAAGTTATGCATATAAATGTAATAAGCCTGTTGGAATTACAGTTGTGCTTCCTTAAAAAACACTGCGGGTCTGGTATTATTGGTGGTCATCCTTCCATCATCATCGTCATCGTCATCAATAAATTTTCTGTTCTATCCATTAGATTCATTAAAAAATTTTGCCGTGGCCTCTTGTAAGTTCCACAAGTTGCCATAAAAGTTACGGGTGCCTCGTCCTGTGGTTTAGCTATCAAGGTGAAGGTTACAGATCCCAGCTGTTGTTAGGCATCAACACAGTCAATCTCACCGCGATGACCTGTTGAGACAAACGTTACAATGTATGTGACGTTGAATGAAATCACGTATCGATCATGAATGTAATATTTATACATGAAACATTACCACAAGCGATATCTTAATTTGATAACTTTATTTTTCAATGTTATGGTTTTGTCTTGATACCCTATAAGGGAAGCTTTGACTGTGAAAAAAAAAGAATGGCGTTGTTAACCTTCCTTTGCTTATCTTGAAAACAGCACCTCTTGTGGCAGTTTCTAGCGACATTGCTTACATTACCTAGCTTACAGTGTATATTTGTAATAATCAATATACGTATTGTAAATTAAGTAATATATCCTTAGTTATTAAGAACATACTACCAGTAAGTAATCAAAACTGCCCAGACGTACCGTGCTTGATCCGTGCCTCATCACATAGCCGTTTAAAACGTCCTGAAGAGACCAGTTTCTCAAACCCTTCATTCCATTTAGAGTTGAAGTCGTTGTCTTTACGGGTCATCATTCCGGTCTGTCCGTAATTCTTACAGAAGAAGGGACCCGAGGGGAACTGTCGAACATTAGTGTCAGAGATTACGTTGATCACATCTACTGCGGCCGCAAAACCCACATCTACCTGTAAGATTTGGGGAGTATTAAATGTTCAGTGAAGAAAACGTCCAATATTTCGACATCACTACAAAAGGTTCATAATTGTCGAGAGGTGACACTCCTCAATGTATTAAACCGCTGGAATTCACTAAATGACCTTGAAAACGCATTTGGATGCAGTAAACTCAAATGACTGACGATAGTAAAGCTGAAATAGGCCATCTGTATAAACAGTTAAGACTGAGAGGGATAATTAGTGATACAAAATATTCTGCTTTTGATATGTTTATATATATGCAGATGAAGGGCCCCGATAAAAAATTGGTATTTTAGAGGACGAAGGGTCCTATTTGGTACTATTTAGAACTAAGATTCAGTAAGTCAAAATTCTAATTTCAAGAGAGGGCAGTTGGATTTTCAGAAATGGAAGGGGGGTCAGGACCCCCCCGTGCACCCCCCCTTCCAAATCCGCCACTGATTAAAGGGCAGCCTCACCTTTTCTGGCCAATGTCTAATTATAAAGCTCATTTCACAATAATTAAAAGAGATGAAGTCTGAACACTGGGATGCTGTGGGATTTCAAACATACTGGCGTGTTAAAAAGAATTATTACAAAAACTGGTAACATAGAAAATACACTCACTGTTCCGTTCTGGATCATAGCCAAGAGCTCGGCAGGTGTTTGGGCATGGAAAACGTTGGCGTGCGGGACGTCTCTTCCAGCTACCTGGTCCAGTCCGGCTATACAAGCTTCGTTAGTGAAGAACCCGCTAATCAGTCCTGTAAGGAGGCAGCACGCATATTAATACCAATGGACCGCTTTTAAAAGACTCGCAGTTTTAAAAATAGTAATACCAAAACAAGACCTGGTACTCGTGATGAAACGTGAATTATCTTACCTAATATGTGAATACAAGAAAACTCACCTACTTTCTTTCCAGTAATATTGAATGGATTAAATCCAGGAAAGGCGTAGAAATAGACCTCGAGTGGTTTCAGAAACGGCTTGGAAAATGAGAAAATCTGCCTTCGTTGACGTGAGGCCAGATATCCGATGCAGGCGTCGTACCAACCTTCCATAAGTCCTGAAATGATGCCATGTAAAGACAAAATCCAGGGTAAAATTTATTCCAATACTTGAATTTCAATATCATGCCCAACTATAAACTACAAACAAAAATGTATAAATGTTAAAACATACATGTAGGAAAAGCTTTAGCTCTAGTCCAATATATCACATAACAGTCTCAGTTTAACTATACATTTTAGAATAAAAATGAACAAATTGTCGCCATATAAAAGTCGACCTGACCAAAGTGAATAATTTAGTTGCCAGCTTTACCAAACCACTTGATTATTTTCTTACATTGAACTTTGTCAACTTCACTTTACCCACTCTTTAAAAACTCTGCTTCTCAGCGCGTTAAAAAAAAAAAAACCTAAAACGAAACAATAAAAGAAACTCGTTTTAACAACCAACTGCTATGATGTAAATAGAATAATGCCCTGTACCTATCCCCCCTCTTTGTGGCTGCCCTTTCTCTGAGAACATGCAGTTGGTGAACGGCTCCGTGACAATCCTGCAATCAATTCCCGCCTCCTGACACACTTAAATAAATAGATAATCGAATAAATATATATAAAAAATGATTAATTAAATAAATAAACCATTGACTTCCTAGTTAATATTTTGCAGTGGTAATGCAGTGTTCAATGTTATTAAAGGATATTTAAACAAGAACCAAACAAATTATTCAAAGAAATTTTTGATTACCTGCGTCTATTAGGTCGTGACCGAATCCAACTTGAAACCCGCTGTCGTCACTGAAAAGTTAGACGGACAGTTAAAGTCATCAGATTTGCAGATTTTACGCAAACCCTCCATTTGCTCTGACCCCCCCCCCCTTCATACACACACACACACACACACACACACACACACACACACACACACACACACAAGAAATTTGATCTATATTTCTGCTTACCTATATACATAAGCCCCAATATCGAATCCAATGGCCACTGTGTAAATTCTCCTTCTATTGGAAGCCTGACACCAGCTGGCGTCATAGGTACTGGGTGAGTATGCTACTGCAGGCTGGGGAGTTTGTCGTGGACTTGTCGTTTTACCCTGGACTGTAATGTCAGAGCCAGCGGGTTTGGAGATTGCGACGGCTGAGATGATGAGCGCAACTATCGTAATCAGTACACAAATCGCTATGGTTATTGTCGTGGTGGCTGGAAGAGAAGAAATAAAGGGAATAACCCGAAAATATTATTTTCTTCCTGCAAGTTTGAGCCCCCGTACATTCACCATGGTAGAAACTTGACAGCCAGAAGGCGTTACACCATCGATGGCACCCTTTACAGTGCACATGGGCGAAAATCCATCACTGGTTAGACGAACAATAAAACGCAAATACCCCTNATTTTGTGTTTTTATTGGTATATTTAACAATTTTAGGGTGTCATCTAGATGAAGAGGGGGTGCTAGTATGATGAAACAGGTATTTTAGCATCAAAATCATAAAAAAACATAAAAAAGTTGAATAAGTAACCGAATAAGGAACCAGGAATAAGTAACCAACTTCACATTTGAATAAGTAACCGAATAAGGAATAAGGAACCAGGAATCAACTTCACCGGGGTAACGCAAATCACTTTTTACAAACGGGTCCCTCCATATCACACAGCGACCTATTCACATAGATAATACACTTCCCCTGTACTTTTGTCACCCCTCTGTACATGTTCGACATTCGGTTACAATAAATGAAATCGAGTACAGAAAATCGCTGCTGAAGTAAAATATTTTCTGTTTAAAGAAAACATTTTACCAAATCTTTTCTAAGGCAAATTACCTTCTAGTTGGTTGGTTTTCGTCACATGGTTGACATTGCTGTCGCTCCTTGCATCCGACATCTTGGAGCTAGGACAAATGTCTCGAGCTAGGGCAAATGTAATATAATCTCCATCTGTTCATGCTAGGCACGGGTTGTGTCTGTTTTAACATTAAAAAAAGTAAAAAAAGAACCAGCTTACTTATGCAAATGTGACTACTTTTTATACCCTACAAGGTGTGCATAAAACCTGCAGCCAAAACCGAGAACAGTTAAATAATATTCAAACGTGTGTGTTCACACCTTTACTTTAAATAATAAGTCCCTTGATTAAAATGAACTGTTAATTAACAAAGCCTAAATACATTAACAAAGTGGGCAAAATCGCGGTCTAAAAGTTTGCTCACAGAGCAAGAAAAATCCTACATATTACACAAATTATCCCTAAATTTATTCCAATGAAATACTGATTCAGAAAAAAAAAAACAGCAAACCAACCTTGAGGACGTCAACAGTGGTTTTTAACTGTCTGGCTTTGGATCTCAGCCTAATTTACATTCACTCCTGTCAGAGACCACAGTATTGAAAATATTGTAATACTTTTAATGTCTTATACATGGTGTGGTATCAAATTCAATCAGTGGAAGAAGTCTGTGCAGATTTCGCTCTAAACAAAGGTTTAATTTTTTAAAAAGAAAATTGATAAGCAAATGTTTCTTCACTTATGAACATCACTGTATAAGTACCCTTAAGACTGAAGTTAAAGCCATAGAAATGCATTAATCAGCAAAAGCAAATAAAAAGTAAATTACAAGCATTATTACTCCACTTAATCTTCATGGGATTTTATAGGTCAAAGCTGTCACTGTTGCTTAGGTAAAACAGATATTATTTTCATCCCTAAATTCAACCAAGTTATGCGCGTTGCAATACACGTTAAATTGTCTCAGTGTTTGCGTCCAAGTCAGCAAAATTATCACGAATCAACAGAAACCGCCTTGATGGCTATGAGATAAAAAGCCGAGGTTTTTGCGTTTAAAGCTTTATTTCCTACAAAGGTAAAATATTTCGCAAATGAACCTGCTGAACTATACCATTTTCATTCTGCTGAAAGGGGTCGCAGCTAGTTAGATATGGCTCATACCGTTGGCTACGGACTCAACTTAATCCGAGTTTTATAATTGATGGATCCAGCTATAGTAATTCAGAATGTGTATTTGCCTGATACACTTTCCCCCACTCGTAAATATGCCTTCATGTATGTAAATACATGTATAACAACTTAAACAAAAGCATCACCTTTTTCAAATTTTGTTAATACATGTAAGTTAACCTATGGCCTTTGTCGTAGGCCAAAACGAGGCTATAATTTTTATCTATGCCCAAACAGGAAGTTTCAGAATTACCTACTACAAATATTTTAACAAATCTTAGTTCTGTTATAACTCCTTGGCTTTATATAACCCATATAACTGCATTACCTCAGTCAGGACGGCACCGCCTGATTACTTTTGCTTTGCTAAATTAGTCTCTTAAATCTAACCAGGAGCCTTGTGCGTCATGTGAAAAATAAAAATAAATCAGCTTATTTCCATTTAAAACAGTTCTGTTTTTCTTTTCCGAAGACGACATTTCTTTCTTGAGACTGTTGATTTTGTCAAAAAAGAAATTAATAAAATTAGTTAATTGTAGTGGTAATAAAATGCTAATAACTATTAACTGCAGCACTAAAGTTATGCATATACATGTAATAAGCCTGTTGGAATTACATTTGTGCTTCCTTAAAAAAACACTGCGGGTCTGAAATTGATATCACTGGTGGTAATCCTTTCATCAGCATGAAATTCACACATTATCAATAAATTTTCGGTTCTATCCATTAGATTCATTTATAAATTTCGTCTTGGCTTCTTGACAGTTCCGCAAGTTGATAAAAGCTACGGATGCCTCGTCCTGTGGTTTAGCTTTCAACCTGAAGGCCAAGGATATCTTCTGAGATCCAGATATCAGGTTCAGGTAACGGCCGCCTATATCTTTGTTTTAACCATCAAGGTGAAGGTTACCAATTCCTAAATGTTTTGTGCTTTAGCTATCAAGGTGAAAGTTTTTGATTCCTGTTGTTAGGCATCCACACAGTCAATCTCACCGAGATGACCTGTTGAGACAAACGTTACAATGTATGTGACGTTGGATGATATCACGTGACGTGTCATGAATGTAATCCTTAAACATGAAAGATTACCTCAAGCGATATCTTAATTTGATAACTTTGTTTTTCAGTGTAATGATTTTGTCTTGATATCCTATAAGGGAAGTTTTTACTGTGAAAAAAACATGGGCGTTGTTAACCTTCCTTTGCTTATCTTGAAAACAGCACCTCTTGTGGCGGTTTCTTGCGACATTGCTAACATTACCTAGCTTACAGTGTTTTGTAACAATCAATATACGTATTGTAAATTAAGTAATAGAACCTTAGTTATTAAGAACATACTACCGGTAAGTAATCAAAACTGCCCAGACGTACCGTGCTTGATCCGTGCCTCATCACATAAATGTTTAAAACGTCCTGAAGAGACCAGTTTCTCAAACCCTTCATTCCATTTAGAGTTGAAGTCATTGTCTTTGCGGGTCATCATTCCAGGTTGTCCGGCATTCTTACAGAACATGGGATCCGATGGGAACCGTTGGATATTAGTGCCATTGATTTTGGTGGCCATAGAAGGCCCCGTGCTAAAACCCACGTCTACCTGTATATTAGGAATTATTAAATGATTGGTAAAGAAAATATCCAATTTCGACATCACTGAAAAAGGTTCATAATTGTCGAGAGCTGATGCGCCTCAATGTATTTAACCGCTGAAATTCATTAAATGATCTTGAAAACGTATTTGGTTGTAATAACTCAAATGAATGACGATGGTAAAGCTGGAATATATATATATATATATATATATATATATAGCATCTGAGAAGGTTACATAGTGATACGAAATATTTCACGAAATTGTTTTTGATCGTGCTTTTGATATGTTTATATATGCAGCTTAACCAGTAGACCATAGTGGCGAGTAGCCTAACGTAGCTTTTCTGGCCAATGTTAAGTCATAAAGCTTATTTCACAATAATGAAAAGGGGTGAAGTCTGAACACTGGGATGCGGTGGGATTTAAAACATATGGGCGTATTAAAAAGAGTTACAAAAACAGGTAGCATGGGAAAACACTCACAGTTCCGTTCTGGATCATAGCCAATAGCTCGTCAACCGTCTGGGCGTGGAAAACGTTGGAGTGCGGGACGTCTCTTCCAGTCACCTGGTCCAGTCCAGCTAGGCAGGCTTCGTTACTGAAGAAGCCGCTTATCAGTCCTGTAAGGAGTCGGCATGCATGTTTACACCCATGTGCCGTTTTAAAGACACTCGTTTGTAGGCATAGGTCTGGTTTACTTTGATAGCCAACGAAACAAAGTCCAATTTTGGATATTGGTCACAGAGCTTATTGGTTAACGATTGCATTTTAAGACCCAGCTTTGTCTATGCCAATTTCAATGCCGAGGCCGATTCTGACTTTTTTGACGTCGTTTAGGGAACGGGTGTCAGCTATAGAACACAAAATAACTTTAACGCGCAAATTGGCCTTGACTTTTGTTTATTCTTTTTCAACCCAAGATACAGCAATTGTAGTTTAATTACATGAAACCCCCATTCAAGGCAAGGCGCTGCTGTTGTTTCAGACCTATGCGTACGTGCACTGTATTTAATGGTATCCAATAAGGCATCTTCGCGCCAAATGCAATTCTCCCAGAAAAATAAAGCAAGTGTGTAAGAACCAAAAATGATTTAGATAGCCAAAGTCCTCTTTGACATTTCCAAGGACATATGTACAGC